TGTCAAGAGTCAAATTCACTCAGCATCAAGCTGAATCTGAAGGGGAGGGGGACTTTTCTGCAGGGCTGCTCATCTGCTGCATGATGGGTTCCCACTGCTGAACTCTCTCAGTCTTTAAGCTTCCTTAACCACAAGGGACCATGGTTGCTCACATTCTTCCCTTTTTCGTGTTTCTTGTCCCTCTCTGTTTTCTTGTTTTCCTCACAGGTAGGAGATATATAAGCTCTTTACGGCAAAAGCTTGTGCTACCCTGTGAAAATCCATATAAATTGTTGGTACTATATAAAAACAGCTACATAACAAGGGAAACTAGTTGGCCACTGTGAGAACAAGATGCCTTTGGCCTGATTCAGCAGGGCTTTTCCTGTGTTCTTAAAACAAGCCTTGCAGAATATTTTATTATATCATTTGTCCATAGTTTCCCAAGGCAAATTACACAGTTTTTGATTACTGTATTGGCCCAAATATAAGCTGCAACTTTAAAATTCAAGGGAGGGGAAGGAAGAAAAAAAGACAATACCTGAATAAATCCATCCCTAGGTCGATCCTGGGAAAGGTAGATTCTCCCAAGGGGCGTTTCAATAGTTTCCCTGTGGGCTTCTTGGATGCGGCACTAGAGGGAGGTGGTGGTAAGAGGCCTCTTTCTCTTCCCTGCTCCTGTTTCCCACCAAATTAAGAGTGGCAGCAGCAGCAGCCAGGCATGTGGGTCAGGAAAAGGGTTTGGAGGGTGGGTGAATGGATGGCCCATGCTCCCGGGCTGCTTCTGGGGGGGGGAGCCACTCCGCTTTGCCGGTGGCATTAGGGCACAAATAAGCCACGCTTTTAACTTTTCACTGTCAGAATTTGGGGGGAAAGTGCAGGTTATATTTGAGCCAATACACTATATCGCCTCTAAAACAGTCTGGTCTCAAATGAAAAACATATACAGTAGTGCAATCTGATGCGTGTCTTCACAGAGGTACACACTTAAGCTGGGAGTGAACTCACTGAGTCTTACTCCCAGGAAAATCTGTATGGGACTGCATTCTTCTGTTAACTTCCATTGCATGTGTTTCTGAAATCATCAAGAAGATACAAAGGCTTCTAAAATTCCAGCGGCTTCCTGCTACCTTGGAAACTGCATTACCTCACAATGTACAGCCCGTGTCTCAATATAGCTTGAGACATAAAACCAGAGCCAGGGAGCTAAATTCTCCCAGCTGGGAGGTTATCTTAATGTGGGCGGGTCAATTACTGTGGTATTTCATTGTGTCTAGTATACAAAATATGGTTTGGTAAAATTATTTGAAGTTATATATGAGAGAAGTGAAAACTTTTGCTTGTGGTGAGCTGTATTAGAATCAATAATGAGTTGGTAGTATTTCTAATGCCAGCAGATGGCACTGTGGTGTAGTCTTCTATGAACAGAAAAGCAATAAAGTATATGTTTGCATAATCATTATTTCTGTGCAACTAAAACTGCTTGAGGTATGGTTTGCAAATACTGACTTCCAAATAAGCAGCAGTACAAAAAGGAAACAAAACATAAGCTACTCAGTTGTATCTCTCATTTCCAACTACTAGTCCAGGGAGGCTGTGGAAATCCTTTAGAAAGTGCCCAGAGGCAGTTTTGGGATCGATGAGGGCAATCAAGCTATGGCTTAAACTAGATAACTGCTGTGGGCACAGAAATCTGTTCTGGATGGAGGTGGGCAGCCACTGCTGGAGAGGTCCCATGAAGTACCAAAAATTCAGCTTAAGGGTTTTCTCAGGTCACCAACCCTTTTTGCACCAATGGGCACATTTTGAAAAGAGAGTGATGTGGGTACCAGTCACAAAACAGCTGCCATAGCGCATGACAACACAAAATGGCTGCCATGTGGAGGTGGGCACACCATAAGATCAGGGACTACCTGATTTCAGATGATCCCACAACAGCAAAGATGTATCCTGGTCACCAGGAAAAAAGGAAGGGGGGTGGGATGCTGTTGGAACAGTCCTTATCCACACAATTTATGACAGCCTCTGTAAAATATAAAATCATGATGTGTTGCATCACATGTCTCAGGCCAAGTGTTAGTTGAGTAAACCAATTGTCCATGATTGAGGCCAAAAAGATAAACCATCAAAATATGGTCCTACTGAAATAGTCTCAGTAGGTATACGTTAAAGCTCTTTAGAGAATAAGTCTTCTCTCCATTTCGTGAGACTTGAGAAATGCTTTATTGACAGGCAAAGTTTGGCCAAAGGGTCTACCAGAATACATCACCAGAATACTTGATCTACAAGTCAAGGTGGCTATAAATTATCCTTGTTCAACTCTGAAATCCTTGGCTTGTGATATACATATTACATGTTGAAGAATAAGGCTACCCTCTCTCAGTAACATGTACAGTCAATGCCTGCAAGCTTCATTAGATTATGATGGGAAACTGTTGCACTTGCCTTGCATTAAACAGCTACAGTGAGAAGAAATGGGCACAAGTGCCTTCAACCCGCAAACATCCCAGGATGGTGGCAAAGACAGGCACCACTTCCTGCCTTTTAGGACTTACAGTGTACAAAAGAGTCATATTTCCCTCCTTGCGGCGTCTTTCTAAGCATCAGAGCTGTGGCTCTCATTTCCGCTCTGCTCCAGGTTCTTGACTCTTGTGCTTCCTTCTTGATGTTCTGCAAGGATTATCTTTGTCTGTATCTTTGGTTTAATTATTGTGCAAGTTTCCTTTTACTGCAGTTCCTCTGAGTCCTTTCAGCTTCATCCACCAAGCACAGGGCGTTCCTTCTCCCTCCTTCCCTCCTGACCATGTTTTTGTTTAGAGTGTGAGGCTGCTGTCAGGGACTTGGTATATTTTTATGCATGTTCTGGACCTTGTCTATTTTAGTATATCTTTTTGAACAATACCTGACAGCTCTCTGAAAGAAACAGGAATCTGGCAGAAGAAAGGGCCCGGCCCTATATATTGTTGAAAGTAAACAGGCTCCAAAGTTCTTAGGGAGCTCAGGGTTTGCTCTCCCTGTCTCTCTTTTGCCCCTTTGTACTTTTCGCTGAGAGGGTTCTGTCCCAAATTTTGCCAAGGGACTGGGATCTCTAGGCACCAGAGGAGACGGGTACTTGACACCCATCAATGATTTTGTAACCACATCCTAAGTAATTTGCCTCTGAAGCCAACTAAGGACAAATTCTCAAATGTGGAACTTCTTTCTTTTATTTTTACAAACGTTGCCTTCTGCTGTGCTGCTCTAAGAGGGGCTTTTGGTGCACTCAAAACAAGCCCTTTGTTGACCTAGGTCTTGGGAAAAACGGAAGCAGAGAGGGAGTTTAATGTGGAAGGATTCTGTAGAGAAAGGGGTTAACCGAGAGAAGACCTTGGAGCTTAATCTGGGCTCTCATAACCATAGAGCCAGTCCTAAAAAAATATAGCAATTCTTTTTTCTTTTTCTTTTGTCCTGTCCAGAGCCTTCTGGATGCCTAATCTTCAAGTGTGTATATGTGTACTGCCATGCATTTGACATATATATGACTTTCAGAAATCCAACTGATTAATTGGTACATTGGTGCTTTTCCATGCCAGGATAAGCTTGTACCAGTTACCCTACCAGAAGAAAAATGACAGCCCAACCATCACTTCTTCTCATATAAGATGTGGTTCTTTTACCAATGAATCAGATACTGGTTGGCATGTAGTAATCAGAAAGCCATTTTTATGGTGATTTAAAGCACAAATCTAATCCTACAACGGGGAGTTCTCAGGTGATGTTTATTATTTGTAAGCATATGGTCGTCAAAAGCATAATGAAATCAAGCATTTCATGGAAATAAATACTATTAAAAGTTCCTGTATATGTTTTGAATGTTCCAAAGTCTGTGAGCCATAAAGCCAAGCTTAGAGACATCATCTTACAGATATAACTCCATTCAAAATCACTTAACTCCATTCTTATCTTCACTGCAGACTGTATCTTCAGTGTTTGCCAGTTCATTCAAATATAACACAGTTTCAGTCTCAAAACTTCCTCATTCATCCAGCTCCATCAGTAAAAACAGCAATTCCCAGTTCAGATATACACAATTCACCAGTTGCCCTCATATAGATGAGAGCTTGTTTGATCCCTGGTCTTTCAGCTTTTACCTCATGAGATAGTAGCTGAGGTTCCTTCCCCGCAGGCACTCCCTCCCTCCCTCATTTTTAACATCTACCTTCAAATAAAAAAATGCTTTCAAATAGCCATTTATCATGGTTAAAGTTATTCACGGCCATGCATTATTCAGAAACAAGATAAAATAAAATGGGATTTATTTGGAACAAAATAAAATAAAATGGGATTTATTTGGAAGCAAATTATATTTTTAGCTAAAACACTTCAGCGCTTTGATGAGTAAGTGGTATATAACTTCTGTTAAATAAATATATTTAAAGGTGCTATTGAGTTGCGTGTGGCTTAATCATGGAAATGCATAGAGGATTGCTGCTTGCATCTGCATGCTGGCTCACATTACGCTTCAGACCTACCACCCATTGTTGCAAAAACTCACAATTTTTTGTTGTACTCTAACCCTGGTGGTTGTAAAGCATATAATGCAATAGAAGGGAACAAAATAAAATAACAATCATCTAAAAATGCTAAATATATCTAATGACTGAGGAATCATCATATTTTTGCTTGGTTTATTTGACAGCCCAGATACCAGACAATCCCTAGTGTAAACTAGAGAAGTTGCAAATATGCTGTTATTTATACTGCTGGCCACTGTAATGGATCTCTTGTAACAGTCCCCTTTCATCGGCTGCACCCTTAAGTCTATGTTTGGCCTCTATAATGGGGCATCTCCTTAGGACTGCTTTAACCTTTGCATCTCATTTTCTTGTAAATACCCTAGGCTCCACAGCCTATTTTTTGTATATCACAGAATCTTTCTATTTCCAGGCCATCATCCCATGCTGCGCTGATAATGTCATCATCCCACTATGCTTTCTGTTCATATTTCAGTGCTCTTTCAGCTTGGATAATGATCAGTTCTGTTTTTTTTTTTTGGTAGAAAACCCTTCGGGGATAATGCACACAGTGCTGTGTTTTCTCCGATAGGCACGCCACTTTCCAAAAGCACCCAGAGATGTGAAGAGTGTTGAAGGAACCAGCAGGTGCAGAGCACCAGCCAAACATTTTCCTCAAATGCATCAGGCAAAGCATGGAGCTGGATTGCCATGTGAACCACTTTAGTCGCTAGATGCAAACTTCCTCCTCGCCCTAACATTTGGATCCCCATTTTATTTCAGGATCTATGCATAACACTACTTCTAATGCTTATTTGCCTGATCCAGCAAAGGAGGACCAAACATGAACACATCCTTCGACACATGGAACAAATCTGTATCATGATGTTCATACAGTCCCCATTGAATTGTTTGGATTGGTTTTGATGCCCTCAGGGTCCACATTCTCATTGGGTCACCCATGACTAGGTCAGGGCTAGATCAGGACCCCTGTAGAAGGAACTCTTAAAGGTAACTGGGTTCTAACACTGAGCTTGAGTGTGGCAGTCCTAGCACTATGTAATGTTTTTAAAGCCACAAGCTAGAAAGTAATTTGAAAACCCCAGCTAGGATGCTACAAAAGCAATTAATGCATTGATGGGCACCAGATATTTTGTTGGGGTAGAAGGCTGGAAACCTGGAAACCTGGTTTGGTGGACTGAGGACCTTTTGCCATTTGCCTGATTGCCTCTTTTTCAGAAGCAGGGACATTTCTGGTTTGACATCCTTCAGATGCATAATTATGTTTGCTTGGTAATTTGCTTGGTTTAAACAAAGGTACAGGAAGCACGTTCTTGTACGGAAGGCGGTACACTTTCATCTTTTCTCCCAGTCTGCCCATCTGTATCTTCAAGCTGGGAGATCTCTGCACAAGAATGGTGTCCTGGTGTTGTTTTTCATACGTCTCATGGCGGAAGCTATTCCATTCCAGCAACGTTGTCCTGTGGAGAATGTAATTCCAGACTAAACAAGAATACGTTTTCACAGTGCAGGTTAGTGGCTGTCAACATTCCCTGGATCAGAAACACATGGAGCCCTTTAAAATTATCTTAAAAATTGTTTTTACCTTTACTCTCGTAGGCTATCCTTTCCTTTTTCCTGTTTCCTTTCCTGTTACATTTTCTCTGAAAGATGGCAATGATGTTACTAGTACAACTCACCTTTGGCAAACTTGTGACCTAATGGTGGGTTGCAGTCTTCCAGTTAAAGAATAAAAATGGCACAGCAGTTACAGCTTGTGAGGAAAATCTCAATGGTACAGAACGGGGGTGGGGGCTAACATTTTGAGGCTAAGGGCTGCATTGACCAATGGTCACCCCTCCCAAGGTCCACATGTCAAAGTGACTGTAATCAGTAACTGTATACATGTATATGTAGACAGATTATACAGAGAGAGAGAGAGAGAGAGAGAGAGAGAGAGAGAGAGAGAGACATATAATGGGTGTGTGTGTTGGGAGGTCACAAAAACTGCTTAGCATCACAGGAACAGAATAGGGGGCCTGTGAGAGTTGTTAATTTTTGTGTAAAAAATTGACAGATTTGGGATAGACACAAATCTTTTGGTATCAAAGTATCACAAATGGGGTACCTATGGGAGCAGTCAGTTAAATAATGTTTGAAATTATTATTATTATTATTATTATTCAAAATGGACAAAATTGAGGGGGGAGCCTTGGATGCAGTCAACAAATAAATATATGCTGCTGCTGCTGTTGTTTTTGCTGTCATCTAAATAAAGAAACTTGGCAGGATTAGGAGGACCAAAAAACCATAGTGTCACAGCAGGGGACCCCTGGGAGCAGTCAGTGCTTTAAAAATAATAATAATAATAATGACATATTTTAACTGAAATTTTTTGAAGGCCCTTGGCATCATGGCTTCACAGCAGAAATGCATAGAAGCAATCAATTTTTTAAAAAACATTTGTTACATGACGTGGGGGTGCCCATTGCTCAGAGCAGTGGAAAGATAATAGAGAAGGCCATGATATAGAGCAGTTGCAGGCATTCTTCTATGAAACCCATTTCAGTCTGGGTTCAGACTTGGTTGTGGGACTGAATCAGCCTTGGTTGCCCTGATGGATGACCTTTATCAGGAGAGGGACAAGGGGAGTCAACCTGGCACAGTCTCTCCATGCCTTTTGGTACAACTGACCATGGCATCCCCCTGGACCAGCTTTGTGGGGGGACCATTTTATGGTAGTTCCAAGCCTACATTCAAGGTCAGTTCTTCAGTCCCCTGGCATCTGTGTTACAGGGTGCCACAGGGCACTATTTTGTCCCCAGTGCTATTTAACATCTATAGGAAGCTCTTGGGAGCTGTCACAAGGGAATTTGGAGCCAAGTGTCATTAATTATGCTGATGCAGACTCTAGAGCAGTGTCTGAGTGCAGTAGTGGCTGGATGAGGGCCAATATACTGCATGTTTAACAAGGGGTAGGCAACCAAAGGATGTGGCCCAATCGCCTTCTCAATTTGGCCCCTGGACGGTCTGGGAATCAGTGTTTTTACGTGAGTAGAATGTGTGCTTTTATTTAAAACACATTTCTGGGTTATTTGTGGGGCATAGGAATGCATTCATTCCCCCCCCCCCAAAAAAAAATAGTCCAGCCCACCACATGGTTTGAGGGATGGTGGACCGGCCCATGGCTGAAAAAAGTTGCTGCCCCCTGATTCTGGATGGAGGTGCATTCCCTCTGAAGGAACTGGTACTCAGTCTGGGGTGCTCGAGTCCTGGATCCATTTTTATTTTTATTTTGTCATGAGGCACATGTGGCCTCAGTGGCTTAGGAGTGCCCTTGAGCATCACCAGCAGGTAAAACAGCTACAGCTGCTCCGGAGCTAAGATTAGGTGGCCCCTGTTTTCCTGGCACTGGAGACCACAGGACTGGATTATTGCAATGTGCTCTATCTGGGGCTTCCCTTGGGCTTAGTCTGGAAGCTGCAGAAGGCGCAAAATGCAGCGGCTAGGTTGTTGACACATTAACCGTGCATAATGCCTCTGCTGAGAGAGCTGCCAATATACTACAAGAACAATTCAAGGTTTTGCTTTTAGTTTCAGCTTTTTAAACCCCAAGAATATGGGACCAGGTTAGCTATATCCCTGGTCAGCAACTGCACTTCTTTGATGGGGCACTGCTGAGAGTACCACATGCTTCAGGGCTGCTCTTAGCTGGTACCAGAAACTGGACATTTGATGTTGCAGCTCCAATACTCTGGAATCAATTACAAAATTTGGCAGGTGCCGAGCATCTTGATGTTTACATGGCTACTAAGGATGCTTTCATTTAAGAAGGTCTTCTCTGAAGCAAGGCCCCAGTCATTGTCTATTAACTGCATATTTTTTGTTATTGTAGCACATTGCACAAATAGCTATTTCCTGTCTCACCTATCTGATCTGACACAGGAGAACTCTATTTGCTAATTTTGATTCCATCTTTGCAAAAGTTACTAAACACTGAAAGTCAGTGAAAGTGTGACCACCTATTTCCTTGACTGCTAGTTTAGAGTTACTTGGCTCTTAAAGGTAAAGGTAAAGGTACCCCTGCCCGTACGGGCCAGTCTTGCCAGACTCTAGGGTTGTGCGCTCATCTCACTCTATAGGCCGGGGGCCAGCGCTGTCCGCAGACACTTCCGGGTCACGTGGCCAGCGTGACGAAGCTGAATCTGGCGAGCCATCGCAGCACACGGAACGCCATTTACCTTCCCGCTAGTAAGCGGTCCCTATTTATCTACTTGCACTTTAAGGGTGCTTTCGAACTGCTAGGTTGGCAGGCGCTGGGACCGAGCAACGGGAGCGCACCCCGCTGCGGGGATTCGAACCGCCGACCTTTCGATCGGCAAGCCCTAGGCGCTGAGGCTTTAACCCACAGCGCCACCCGCGTCCCCTTACTTGGCTCTTAACACTGGCTAATTAAGCAGGAGCTGTAGTCAAATGCATTAATTTGTTTTCATTTTAAAAAATCATTTAGGACTATTTGCTGGGGAAAAGTAATTTCTCCTGCTTCTCCCCAGTAAAAAAGTCAATGATGCTTCACAAACAGCTTCATTCCTGAATGACTCGTTAGTTTCTTCCTTCAGATCTTTGGAAAAACTGAATCAATTGCTAAGAGAAGCAACACAAATTCTGCCAAGTTTATCATCACTAGAAAGATTAAACCATCTCTAAATTCTTAACTATAAAATCATAATGTTAAATTATCACTGAACGTTTAATGCCATGCATTAAGGTCCTGCACCACACCCTTTCCCTTCCTCCCCCTGCCCAGTTGCTACTCAGTTTGATTTTAGTACAAAAAAGTTGAAATATGCTGATAAACCCTAGGAAAAAACACATCAAACCCATTATATATATATAAAAAAGTTATATCCATAAAGTAAGATAATGCTTAAAAAGTACAATAATGATGGGCTTATACCTCTCTTGCCGCCTTATTTCCATAGTCAGATCCTCCCAAAGCATAGAGAAACTTTCCTTCTTGGCAACATTTCTCTCTTCTACGTCACAGTTAAGAATGTTGACTTGTAGCGTATCAGGGCTGCTTAGCAAAGGAGTCCGCATTGCAAAAAATGTATTTTATCACAATGGATAATCCAAATGCTTTCTTGATTAAAGGCTCAACTTGCTTAATTTTTTGATCTCTGTTTTGTTATGTGAGTTCAGTTCGGATTACCACTGCTTAAGTATTTTGGTGCTCCTATTTTTATGTTCATGAATCACTTGGGGGATGATATGGTGGATAAACTGGCAAGCTGAATCTGTGCTGGATGCTAAAGTCTTTCAGTAACTTACTGAAAAGGGAGATGACATGTGGTTCAGGACTACTTGACTGACACCTACGTTTTTGCTGTGCAGTCTGGAGTTTTCAAAATCCAATCCAGACTACTTGGCAGGCATGAAAACAGGACAACCATGGTTAGCTGAATTACCTTCTGGAGCAGTGCTTTATGCATGATAATTGCTTCCACATGTAGCTCTGGTGGCAATAGTGCTTTATTCACGAAGCAGAATCAATAATTGCTTCCTATAATTCAGGCTATATACCATTATAGAAACCATTGCCCATAAAACATACAGCACAAAAACAGTCTATTGAACTTTATAAACAATAGAAACACACACTTCTCAAAATGGAATGGACTCCCTTGGAAGGTGGTAGACTGTCTTTCCGTGGACGGTTTTAAAGCAGAAGTTGGAGGCTATATGTCAGTTGTGATTCCTGCATTGGAGAGGTCCATAGAATCCTAGAATTGCAGAATTGGAAGGGATTCTGAAGATCATCTAGTCCAACCCCCTGCTAGATAAGGAACCTGTGATCCTCCAGATGATGCTGAACTACAACTCCCATCACCCCAGGCTGCTGGCCAGGGGTATCAACTGAATTTTTTGGTCTAGTATACTGTATGTGGATTGGGTCCCCTGCTGCACTCAGAAATGGAGACATTTTTGTCATATGCAAATTTATACCATCTTTTGCAGGTGTGGCTGGAGTACCCAAAAAGAAATCAGGGTCATTCAACAGTACTAAGATGTCTGACAGACAGAATATCAACATGTTAATCTTTTTCCATAATTGTGGTTCCATACTAGAAAAGGCTTACCCTGTTTAATATCTGTCTGCTACCTAGCTGTTGGGGACATGGGTGGCACTGTGGGTTAAACCACAGAGCCTAGGACTTGCCGATCAGAAGGTCGGCGGTTCGAATCCCCGCGATGGGGTGAGCTCCTGTTGCTCGGTCCCTGCTCCTGCCAACCTAGCAGTTCGAAAGCACGTCAAAGTGCAAGTAGATGAATATGTACCGCTCTGGCAGGAATGTAAACTGCTTTTCCGTGCGCTGCTCTGGTTCGCCAGAAGTGGCTTAGTCATGCTGGCCACATGACCTGGAAGCTGTACGCCAGCTCCCTCAGCCTGAAAGCGAGAGGAGCGCCGCAACCCCAGAGTCGTCCTTGACTGGACCTAACGGTCAGGGGGTTCCTTTACCTTTACCTAGCTGTTAAAGGCATAAGAGCCCTGCTCTCCTCCAATGCCAATCCTAAACCATGCAAAGAAGTAAAGTTTCATGAGCTGTACTTGTAAATGAGTTATGCCACTGGTCTTTCATCAGCTGATCTTAGGGCTGGCAATACTCCAATAATACAAGACCAGGTGTAGTATTTCAGATGGAGAGGGGCAAATGTCATTTAAGATTTATAGCAATTTTGTTCAGCTGCTCATGCTGTGATAAATTCAACATTTAAGTAGTTAAACAGCAAGCAGTGCTCCACTTGTTGTGGTTATTTATTAACACATTTTTGTAAACCACTCTGAGGGATTGGGGGGTTTATTTTACAATCAAGTGCTATAAAAATTTTATGAAATCAATAAAGTAAATAAATAACACATATTTTTTTCCTATGAAGACCTTCACAGGTGGAGCAACCAAATGGAGCAACTGCTGCTGCCTTCAGTCAAGGAGGAGAAGAGTGTAAACAACACAATAAACTGAAATGCTAGAAATTCAGCAGTGGCAATTCATTGTTTGACGCCATGTTTCAAAAGTATCCTCTCAGTTAACAATGTATGCTAATAACTCAGGAGGCCCTCAGTGAGGGTCTAATTCTGCACATACCTATAAATCCACCACTCCTTCCTTCCTTCCTTCCTTCCTTCCTTCCTTCCTGCCTGCCTGCCTGCCTGCCTGCCTGCCTGCCATATAGTCAAGATATAGTCTGTTGTGGCGCCTACTGTAGGCCAGGGCAACTTGTGACCTGTTATTTACAGTGGCCCATTCAGGGGCAGCTCATCCCATTTCACCACTTGAGGCAAAATGAGGCAAAATGCTGCTTTGGCCTGCCGTCTCTGCCACCACCGCTATACCTGCCGCTCTGCCTGCCCTGCTGCCTCCACCACTGGCATAGAAGTGGCGCCAATTTTGGGCGTGATCTTGTATGCTCTGCAAGATCTTGTGGGATTTTTAACACAATTGCAGCTGATACTGGCACTGCTTCAGTGCTGGCTGTGGGGCCAGCAGGGCACTCGGGGGCTGCTGCCTTAGGGGTTTCTGCCGCCTGGCAGCCGCCTCAATCTACCTAATGGCAGATCCAGCTTTGGGTCCAGAAGAGAAATCTCACCTGTATGTTGCCTGGGACTACAAAAGCAGGTTTCTTGATCCTGCCTGGTCAATGAGCTGCATTTCGATTGACAGCACCCAAATTGTGCTGGCAGCAGCAACCTGCTACTGGGTGTGATTGTGGGTGGATAGAAGTTTGAATTTATTCTGCTCCTATATCTGCACAGCTCTGTCATCTAGCAAGTTAAGCAACCTTTTAATACTCTTATTATTGCCGATGAACTAAACTTTTGAATCCTTTTTTAAAAACAAATAATTAAAATATTCTGGAAGGTTCTCCGTGTTACCTAAGGGACATGGGTTGGAAAATAGGTCAAATGCCACAAGTGTGACCAGACTGACCTTTCCATGAGTAAAGCTGACAGACGGATGCTTATATTTTTTTTTTAAATGCATTTTTATTGAAGTTATACACAAAAACAGACATATAAGAAAATACAAAGAGAAAATTACAAAGAAAAAGAGAAGAAGAAAAAAACACTCATCCGAAAAAAGAAAAACACACAATCTGAACTTCCTTCCATCCTTTTGATAAGTATCAAATATCTCCTTCCATTACGTATTTGATTTTCAATCTATAGTCTTAAATTCACTCGCTGGTCGTATTGTTCTAACCCCGTCAGTTCACTTTAAACATTTATTCCAATATATTTCCAAAATTTGCTCCAATTTTTCAGAAATTTCTGTTCATCCTGATCTCTTATTTTACCTGTTAATTTGTCAAGCTCAGCATAGTTTACCATTCTAATCTGCCAGTCCTTTATGTTGGGGATAGTTTCCACTTTCCAATATTGTGCCAACATAATTCTCGCTGCTGTGGTGGCGTAGAGGAATATCGTCCTATCTTCCTTTTTAATTTCTTTATCCATCATTCCCAACAAGAAGGCTTCAGGCCTCTTGGGAAAGGTATACTTAAATATTTTTTTAAGTTCATTATAAATTGATTCCCAAAAGCCTTTCACCTTTTTACATGTCCACCATAAATGATATAGGTCACCCTCCACCTCGCCACATTTCCAGCATCTCTTGTCCTTTAATCTATACATTTTGGCCAGTTTCTTTTTTTTTAAAATAGTTTTTATTGCATTTTTTCAGACATAGACAGAGAAAAGAAGAAGAAAAAAGAAAAGAAACAAAAAGAAGATACAAAGAATCATAACCTTTCAACAACTTATTTCAACTTTCTATCGAACTTCCCCGCATCTCCCGCACAATGCATTCTTAACAATAAATTTATCAGCAAATTATAACCTTGTTTCATGTGTTTCTTTTGTACTTTCAATTGCAATTTAAGTTTAAATCCCTTGTTGTCCATTTACTCTGAAAACAAAGCATATTATCATTTTCAACATTTAAACTTTGATTCTTTCAATAATGTTATCTAATTTCATAAATGTTGCACTCTCATTGCTGGGGCTAGCATTTCAAATTATGCGTCATTTTATAGTTCATATAACTTATAAAATTTTTGCAAATAGTTCTTAAATTTTTTCCAGTCCTCCTCCATCATTTTGGCCAGTTTCACAGGGGTGTGGTACCATCTATATATCATCTTCCAGATATTTTCTCTCAGTGCCATACATGCTGTGAACTTTATGTTACAATTCCAAACTTCTATCCACCTTTCGAAATCAATATTATAACCAAAGTCAATTGCCCATTTAATCATTGCCTCCTTCACCTCCTCGTCCTTTGTGTACCACTCTAATAGTATATCATAAATTCTGGACAGGGTTTTGTTTTTGCCTTCTATTACTTCTATATTAAATTTTGATTTTTTTATCATCAAAACCCACCTTCCTCTTATCCTCTTTTAACAAATCATTCACCTGGTGGTATTGCAGCCAACCAGTGAATAAATTTTTTATTTCTTCATAAGGTCTAAGTTTGGGCCCTTGGTCTGTTTTTCTTAACATTTCTTCATAGGTGGCGTTTATCTCCTCCATATTTATTTTCTTGACCATTAAAGCCTCTATTGGTGAAATCCACCATGGGGTCTTTCTTTCAAGGAGGTTTTTGTTCCTTTCCCATGCTTGATATAATGGTCCCCTAAAAATATGGTCTAAGAAACTTGTGGACTTTCACTTTCCCATACCAAAGGTATGAATGCCATCCGTACCGATTATTAAAGCCTTCCAGGTCCAGTAAATAAATAACGCATATATTTTAAGTTTAGACAGAGTGTTCTGTGTTTTCTTCTTGTATTATCCATATCATTCAGATTAATGTGATTTTCCTTTCACTTTAAATATTATTATATTAGAACAGTCTGCCCTCTTCTGTTTTACAAAACATGTATTTGTGCTAGCTTGCTTGTATTTTTACTTTTATCCCTGTTTATCAGCATGCAGTGCAATCCTGACCTAGACATGGCAGCGATTGAGCCAGGGGTAGGGGGATGGAGTCATCACTGCACAACCATGCTAAGGGAAATCTGACCAGTTGAACTTCTGACCAGTTGAATTTCTGTGACTACATACCTGTAAAAATGCATAGCACCAGCCGTTTTAAAAGGGAAAATGGCAAAGATAAAGCAAAATTAAAAATTACAATATTTTCATTTTTTCAAGTACTATTTTTTTAAAAACACCTCAGATTTTTTGGAGCTAAAATTCACTTAATCGGATGCATAATTCTTGGTAATTCCTGATAGCTTATGGAATAATGCATTTGCCAGCCTCTAAAATGCTGCTAGAGAATTGTTTCATTTCTGCTGTTAGCCTTGGCTAGTTGGCTACCCACAGTGGCGTAGCGTGGGGGATGCCAGGGGTGCCGGCCGCACCGGGCGCAACATTTGGGGGGGGCGTGAGTCCAGAGGGAAGGGACAAGTTCCTTCCTCCGCCGGGCTCCCCGCCGCCACCGCCAGCCTTGCACCCTAGCGCGCGCGAGCCCCCGCCGCCGCCGCCGCTGCGCTCCACTCACTGCTCGCAGGAGGAGCAGCCGCTGCAGCGGCGCTGATGCTGCCACCGATGCCTGGCCGGGCACGGGCAGCCTCCGCACCCCGCCGCCGCCGCCATCCCCTCGACCCAGCCACAGGCGGCGGCTGCTTCTGCGGACTGGAAGGGAGGAGAGCTCCGAGGGGCCTCGACGTCCCCTGCCCTCCCCAAAACCCTCTGAGAGGAAGCCGGCGGGTGGGCGAGGGTCTCCCGGCAGAAGGGGGCGCCGCTGGCTCCAGCTCTCAGTGCAAGTCTCAGCCGCGGGGGTGGGGGGGAGGACGGAGCGTGGCTGGAAGCCCCCGACCCGGCCGGGAGGAGGAGAGGCACTCGCCAAGCCCGGATCTGGAGCGCCTCGGAGCGTGGGCTCCACCTACAGCCCAAGGAGAGGAGGGGGCGGGGAGGCGCCCAAGGGGAGGGGGCTTCGGCTGCCTCGGCCCGCGGGGGCTCCGCAAATAATAAATTTAATAAATTCCTGCTGAGCCTTTGGGGGGGGTCCTTGGCTCCTTCGCTCGCCCCCAGCCCCAGTGGCGTAGCGTGGGGGGTGCAGGGGGGGCCGGCCGCACCGGCCGCAACATCTTGGGGGGGGCGCGCTCGCACTCGAGTGCTAAAATCCACGGGTTAGGGAGCGCAAATTACTTGCCTTGCCCCGGGTGCTGACAACCCACGCTACGCCACTGGCTACCCATTATCAAAGGACTGAAAGGATACCAGAGTAATGTACTCAACACCACAAAGTGAGCCAGTGACAGGAGGATTTCACAGTTAAGTCTCCAGGTCCTCTGGTGTGCTTGTTTTCTAGAGGTATGAATACATGGAGGTTGTGGTCAATGGGCTCACTGCGAAGATAATGTGCAGGCAATATTCTACCCAAAGGGTGATGCAGCCTAAAGGGTTTAGCTATTAGCACCACCAACTCCTCCTCACAAACCACAACCTCCTCTCATGAAGAAGACATGAACAGGAGCTATAAGCATTTGTGGTGGACAAGGCGATCTATTGAAGGCTACAAGCCATGAGAGCTATGCTCTGCCACAATAGCTAAAGGCAGCAATGCTTCTGAAGGCCAGTTGATGGAAACCACTGGAAAGGAGAGGTCTGTTCTTGTGCTCAGATGCGGCTTGCAGGCTTCTCAGAGGTCAGCCACTATGAGAACAGGGTGCTGAACGAGAGGAGCCATTGGTGTGATCTAGCAGGCTCCTCTCACGTTCTTAAGCATCAGAAACAAATGGCATGAGCATGTATAAAGTTCACCTGCCTCACCAATGAAGAACACTCTGTATTTAATAAGGTTTCAAGTTGTCGCTCCATATACTGGGCTGCAACCCTTCATGTACAAAGCACACCCACTGAGGAAGAGAACAACTTGCTGCTTTGTATGGAGACTTGTAGTCATTCCTTTCAGATGAAACAGGTGATGGTGTGTGGAAGGTTAGTGGGTTGTACATCATGGGTATAGCAATTGCCCACCCCAAAAGTAAATCAATAAAAACACTTAACAAAAGGAGGTTCTGTCCTCCCTCAACATAAAGCCTCCCCCCAGCCTCCCTCCCCATAAATCCTGGCTACGCCCATGTTGCACATCCTCCTTTCTTTCACTGGGCTTGCTCAGGAGACTACCATGGTAGCAGAATATACCCTAAATGTGTTTTCTAAATTATTCCAGTAAACGAATGCTTTTATTTGATTAATGGATTTGAGTAGCACTGTTTGGTTCCGCAGGTTTCTTCAGACTTCAGTTCATCTCCTGAAGAGCCTTGTTGAAGCTTTCTAGGGCATCCCTGAAAGACTTCAGCAAAGTGGCTCCGAGCTCATTGCCCGTTTCCTGTATTGCTGCGTCATATCCCCCAAAGATGGGGGTAGAGGCCTTTATGTCCTCTCTCTTCGCCTGCAGTAAAATCATGTTAAGTTCCTCGGCTATTCTCTCATATTTTTGGTGATCAAATTTCGAAAGATCAGCTTCACCAATTGGGTAACTGATGTCATTTGCATAACAGTCTCTTGGGACTGGGAATTCAATGTATCTGAGTCTTGGAAAATCAATGAAAATGTTGAAAAGGCATTTCAGTGCTCGAGAAGATAGAGGATTTCCAAGAAATTTCAGCTCCTCTAGTTTCCGACAGGGGACCAACCCCAAAATCAGCATGTTTATGTGAGTGTCCTGAATGTTGCATTCCTCAAGGACGAGACTCTTCAGGGTGTAGGAGGAACGGTTCAGAAGTTTGAAGAAGGTGGATGGGTAAAGGTCAGCCACGTCATGGCCGCTGATATCAAGGACTTCCAGGGAGCCGGAATGAAGGCTGTTGGCTAAATAGGCCATGTCCACGTGGTTTAAAGAGCAGTTGGAAACATCCAGCACTTTCAGCGGGGTTTTCAGTGGGCTGGAAAGTTAAATATTAAAACAAAGTAAACAATTACATAATTCAGTTGCATTGGGTACTTAATAGGTTTATGAACGATGGGTGCAAGTGCATCATGATGGATGGATGAGATATTGTTGGTTTCAGTGGGACTTGTTCGCAGAAAAATAAGAGGAAGGTTGAGCATGGTTACAAAATTATGGACTTACTGGGTTGAAAGATATCTCCAAGTCTTTGACACTGAGCTAGGCTAGGTTATTCCTAAGCCACCCTTAATTGTTTAGTCAACAGATTAAAACAATAGGATCAAATCAAAATATCTCCTTCAAACAACAAGAGAAACTGGGGGAGGGGGCGGCAGTAAACCAGAACCAAGCTGCGGGGGGGGGGACTTCTTCTATGAATCATTTAGAAAATTAATGCTAAACCTGCACCCACTTTGAAAGGTAAAACCCCCTGGCTGAGGGGAGGAGGTACCTCACTGTGGCTCAGGTCAGGTGCCCAAATGCCTTAGGGGAGACCCTGATGTTGAGAATGAATAAAGACTATGTGTTTTGCGTATCCAAAGTATTTTGTAAATGACACACAGTACATTTTAGTGGCAGGAGACATATGCACAAGTTCCCTTGAAACTGTTCCATATGTGAAACACAAAACATTTTGTGTACAAGCCACTACTCCATGTTCCCCTGCAATCAGTGATGTGGCAGCTCTGGGTGGCCCGAAGAGATGGTTTCCACCTTTCTGGTGGTCTCTTACAAGATCCCACAGGAGGATGCAGGGCTCAGGAAACTTAAAAGCCTCCATTGCCCATCAGCTGTGGTCACCAATTTCCTTCCCTTTTCTCCTGCAGTAATAGCGCTTCTCTGGACTCTTGGGTCACTGGTTGTCAGGGCTGGAAAGGAATTTTACTCTCAACCAAAGTTGGCTCTGGATTGGGAGGTTCTTATCATTCCCTGATTTCCAGAGTCATTCTCCATTAAAAAAAAAAAGGTAAAGGACCCCAGTTGTGAACGACTCTGGGGTTGTGGCGCTCATCTGCTTTACTGGCCGATGGAGCCGACATTTGTCCAGAGACAGTTTTTCCAGGTCATGCGACCGGCATGACTAAGCCGCTTCTGGTGAACCAGAGCAGCGCACGGAAACGCTGTTTACCTTCCCGCTGGAGTGGTACCTATTTATCTTCTTGCACTTTGATGTGCTTTCGAACTGCTAGGTTGGCAAGAGCAGGGACCGAGCAACGGGAGCTCACCCCGTCATGGGGATCCAAGACGCCGACCTTCCGATCAGCAAGCCCAAGGCTCAGTGGTTTAGAACACAGTGCCACCTGCCCCTTGTTCTCCATTAGGTGTCTGTAATTGTATCACTACTTTGAGCAAAATGGCATTCAGCAGCTTGAAACATAAAGGGAGATCCCCATTAGGGGGTGGGGCAGGCAATGCACAAGCCACGCCCCTAGCTTAGAAGGGCCCCAGCCTTGTGCCAGTTCTCCCCACCCCCAGTTGCCTAGTGGGATCCCTGGTGCTTGGTTCGCACCACATTAAGATATAACATCGTTCAACTCCCAGGGGTGTGTGGCTGCATTGGGAAATAACTTTCCAGCAGCAAGGGTTGAGTGGAATGGGGTCTAGTCCTTGTGCCACTTCCCTTGCCACCCCTGCTTATTGTTGCTGCAGGCATCCCTCTGTCTTGAAAGACAATGAACCTGTTTCATCCCACCAAAGTGTGTGTGCTGTTGTGATTCCTGCCACTCCCATGAGGCATATAATGCAACTGCTGTACAGAGAGCAAGGTGGGGATTTTTTGCTAGTATTATTCTTCAAGTGGTTCTCTGGGGGTTTTTTTTGGGGGGGATGGGAATGTGGCCAGGGCATGCCTCTCTGCTCAGAGCAATTTGCTTCCAGAAAATGTGAGGGCAGTGTGCCCTGAAAGGTTGGTTAAAAACCGTTTAAACAAATTTAAAAATAATGTTAGAGCCTAAAACCACCAAGAATGGCACTGGCACCCACATTTGCAAATATTTATTTTGCAGCAAAAAAGTACGTCATTGGGGACTCCAGATGATCTCAGGTTCAATTCCTGAATCTCCAGTTAGATGGGATACAGGTAAGCAGAACTGTAAAATGTCCTTCCTTTGGGACTTACTGCTAGACAGAGTAGACGATGCTAAATCAGATAAGCATCAGCATGACAATAAAAGAAAGCTTCATATGCTGTCCCTTTTTAATACGTTACACATTAGTCATAAATATTGTCTCAATTGCATCACCAGCAAGATCTGGAGCACATTACCTGAGTAGTTTACGTATCCTTCCCGTGAGTGTGGAAAATGCTAGGCTCAGCTCAGTCAGTTGAGTCATCTGGCTTAACTTTTCTCCAATTCCTACAAGAATGGCCTCATCCTCTGGGGTGAACCTTCGTACATCAAATGTCCTAGCTGGGAGTGTGAGCGACGTCAGCTGAGGAAAGTGGACGTTATTAAAGAGCATGTGCAAATGTTCCATTTCCAGCCGAACATTGTGGACTATTTCGAATTTGAGCAGCGAAGAGGGATCTGTAAGCTTTATGATGTAAAGAGCTTCCGCAGGGCTAGGTTGTCCACTCGGAAGGATGCACAGCGAATTTTCAGTGGGCAATGGCACCTCATAAGCAAGGCCTGGACAAGCAGCTCATAACTTCGTTCAGTAACAAAGACATCAGTAAGAACGTCAACTGAAATCTCAAACACATCTGGATTGAACTTCAGCCTTTGCATTTCAACAAGCAGATCGTAGCAGATCTTCGACAGCAGCTCTGTCCTGGCCCAGCGTCCCATTGTTTTCCTACAGTTGCAGAGCTGAACTTCAACATCCTTTAGGCCTGTTAAGTCCACCACTTTGAGTCTCTTTGCATATGGAGATGAACAATTCAGCACATAGTCTCTAAGGCCAGTTAGGCAGCTGGTCAAGCACAGGGAGCAGGCTCTGCTACTGATGTCTTCCTGGTGGTCTATTGTCTTCCCCAACAGTTTTCCAATGTTAAGTTCCTTCAGTGGCCAGTTTGCCACCAAATCGTGAAGAACTTCCCCTTGTTCCTGTAAGTAACTTGCCTTAAAAAGAAGAGGGAAAAGGTTGTGTGCAACACTGCCAAGATTTCCTTTTATCAGCTCTGCATTGGATACCAAAGCCCCAGCACTCAGGAACCGTAGAGAGTGCATTGCTGCTTCTTGATTCCTTCTGTTATACTGGATCTGCTCTAACAGAGGTTCTCTCTTGCTTGTCATTCTCTATTTTTAGCTGCAGCTGCTGCTGAGGAGCGTACATGACATGTATTTGGAAGGTAAGAGGAGCAGTCATCTGCTGACCTGGTTACTATTTTGGTATCAGACACTTATTTGACACCTCTTTTTAATTGTCCAACTTTTATTAATTGACAAAGGCATAGCTGTGTTAGTCTGTTGCACTAAAAACAAAAGAGTATTGTCATACCTCAAGGACCACAGAACAGAATGTAGTCTGAAGTTCATTGATATGATCTAGTGTGTTCAGCTGCAAATGATAAGTGGTAACAACTGATGTTCGTTTGTTTTCTAGGTCTGCCCTGTGGTACATAATTCACCTTGTTGATCTGTTTGTTTGCTTTCATTTTGTAGGGTGAGTATGGTAGTCTGAGGGATGCCTGATTAAAAATCCTGAGTTGTGATTTTTTCTTTGATGAGTCTAAACAAATGCAGCCATGAACAATGAGATTTGTGGTGTGTTCTGGGTGGAAGCTGGAAATATGGCAGTATGTGTATTGGTCAATGGTTTCCTGTGTAAGGTGATGCTTATAGGTCTGCTATAAGCTTGCACAATAGGGTGCTGAATGAACCTCTTGGGTACACTGGTCATTGAAGTTTTGATGGAAATGCTCAAGTGTCTCTTGCCTGAGTCCAGATGATAGCGGTGCCACCAATGTATCTCACAGAGGTTATGCTACACTTGACCTTAGCCAAAAGGCCGAGAAGCGAGGTTATGATGCTGGAAAGTCACGTCTCAGTTTCCTCTAAGAAGTCCAGCCTTCACCAACCTAGCTGGACAGGTTGGCAAAGGTTGAATATGATTATGATTATGATTATGATTATTTATTCATTTCATTGATGGTTGGACAGTGTTGTCGAAGCTACAAACATGAGTCTGACCAAACTGCGGGAGGCAGTGGAAGACAGAAGTGCCTGGCGTGCTCTGGTCCATGGGGTCACGAAGAGTCGGACACGACTAAATGACTAAACAACAACAATTCATTTCATTGCCTGTCCTTCACCATAAGGTCCCAGGGTGGGTTACAACAATTAACATTAATATTAAAACACAATTATTACACAATACTGTATTAAAAATAACAATGACAGCTCCATAATGGATGGCTTTTTTGCAATACAAATTGCATACAGGTGGCCTCATCCAGATTGGGACTGTACTGCAGGGGTGGGGGTTTTCCCAGACCTTTCCCCCCAGATCTTTTCCCAGATCTTTTTTCATTACATATGGCTCCCTGTACATCACATATTGTAGGTGTCTGACGCTAAGCCTTAAGAATGTGATTGGTGCTGAAAGTGAGTCCCTTTGAAGTTGTCACTTATCATGATGACACCAGGTCGGCAGCCCTTGGGGGGATGGGGGAGGAAAAGACCTGGCCATCCCCACCCCTACTTTAGATTTATGGGAGGATTCCAAAATCAAAGCTTGTAATGGATTAGCTTGCTTTCAGGGCAACTATCAGATTAGAAGCACAATGTAGCATTTACTGAATCTGTTGACAACTTAGTGAGGCTTCCAGTGGTGCTCATGCGCCTTTAAATGGCTTTGCTTCTCTATGCAGGTCCCTCCGTCTGTAAAGGTAAAGGTAAAGGGACCCCTGACCATTAGGTCCAGTCGTGGCCGACTCTGGGGTTGCGGCGCTCATCTCGCTTTATTGGCCCAGGGAGCCAGCGTACAGCTTCCGGGTCATGTAGCCAGCATGACTAAGCCGCTTCTGGCAAACCAGAGCAGCACACGGAAACACCGTTTACCTTCCCACCGGAGCGGTACCTATTATCTAATTGCACTTTGACGTGCTTTCGAAATAAAGGGTGGCCCATAATGGGCATTCTAGGAGAGACTGCAGGCGTGGTTTGTGATTCACAAGGTTCCAGTGACAATATAAAAGTGGAGAGAGGACCTGCACATTATTCCTTGTATCGCAGGTTCTGCAAAAGCTGGAAAGTTAGTATTTCCAAAAAATGAAATTTTAGGATTAAATTCGGTGTGTATGTGCTACCCCCCTTGCCCAATTGCCAACACCCAATATTAGGACTGTAGTGATCCCAAAATGATTATCTTCTTTTCCAATGTGCCTGTAATAAAAACTAACTTTCCTCTGAATTGTTTAGAATTTAAAAAACAAAACAAAAATTGGACAGCTTTCCTGGGTTAATAGCTAGTCCTTCGTGACTTAGATGTACCACTTGCTGTTTACTGTTTCAACAATTTTTCATCCTTATTTGTGTGATGCATAAAGATAAAAAAAATATGGGCCGGCTTCCTTTATCCTATGTAAAACCCTTCTGCTATATACCTGGTTTCCAAGACCCTTGATATTTGAAGAATGATTCTTGAGACTCCCTATTATTGAGTAAATTATTAAAAATCTGGCATTCCTTGACCAAAAGCCAGCCAGCGGCTCCAGAGAAACCCGCAAGTAAGGAATGAAGGGAACATCCCCCCCCTATCTCAATCTCAGCAGTTGTTATACTGAAGGTCCCCAGAGGTAGAGTTGCCAGACGAAAGTTTTTTTGTTGAGCTTTTTTAAAGTTCTGCCCAAAGTTGCTGAGCTTTTCTTGCTCCTTCTCTGGAGCTGCTGCTCTCAAAAGGGGTGGGGGTGGGGGGTTTCAAGCTATTTTAAAGGAAATTCACCGAAACTTGCACTACCAACATGGGCTGCCATACCTCCAGATTTTCCTGGACAATTCAGCGATTTCCACCCAGACAGTTTCTAACGGCCAAATTCCAGCTATGTCCGGGAAATTCCAGACGTATGGCAACCCTACCCAGAGGTGCCCCTGAGATATCCTTGAATTTGCCTATTTAAAAAACATCCTTCTACACAAGGTACAAATTTTATGAATTAGTGACACAGAAATGTTGTTTAAAAAAGAAAAGAAAAAAGCATAATGTACTAAATCAGTAAAGGATAATACAAATGTTTTATTTATTCTTCCATCTTTTAAAATATATCATACATGGCAATGTTTGACTAACAAAAATAAAACTACTTGAAGAGCATATGAACAATACTTATACTTTTTTATTTAGTTTGACATAAATTCTGTTCTCAAAGTATGTGGGTGTTCCCTAAAGGGGTCTAAGGGGGGCAGACACTCTCTAGGGGAGGTTCAAGTCCTTCAAAGGCAGTTTGTGTGCCCTCTGATGGGGCAGGGAAACAGATGACCACACTCCTGAAGGCCAGAGCAACGTGGTCAAGCTGTGCTGAAAAAGCCATGGGTGAATGGAAAATTATATGAGTGTATAGCTGAAAACTTATAATTTATTTTTATTTTTTAATGAACAAGCCATGGGAGGCTCAGCTCTGAAATTCTGCTCCCTGCATATGGGGGGGGGGCAAGTAACTTGGTCAGTGCAGGAAAACCACCTCAAATGAAAGATTGAAGACACATGAAATATACCGTACTTTTCGTTCTATAACACGCACCTGACCATAACACGCACATTGTTTTTAGAGGAGGAAAACAAGGGGAAAAACATTCTGAATGAAACAGTGGATGTATCATTTTTGTGCTTCATGCTGTGGCCACAGACATGTGATCTGATGGTGAATTTGGGGTGACCCAATGCAAAAATCCTGAGAATCCCTGTGGATCCATGCTTTGTAACCACGTTTTTGCACCACTGCAGCCCCAGGCAACAGTGGGTGCGTGATTTTGGGGGGGCAGGCTGTAGCCATGGACATGCTATGTGATCTGATGGTGAATTTGGGGTGACCCAATGCAAAGATCCTGAGGATCCATGTGGATCCATGCTTTGTAACCACATTTTAAGTGGGGAGGGAAGGAAAAACACAGAAGGGACAAGGAGCACGAGAGGGGTGTGCAGAGAAGCAGCTGGCTAAGAATGCAGGAGAGGGGTATAACGGGAGGGAGGAAAGGAAGGCAAAAGTTTCCCCCCACCCACCCACCCAAGCCAGCCAGCTCGCTCTCGCTCTCTCTCTCCCACCTGCATGTTGCCTGCGAGTCCCTAGACGCAGGAATTAGAAGGAAGGATGCTCTGCTTTCCCCTCTGCTTGCCTGGAGGGGAGGGGCTTTCCCTGCTCTTTGTTCCATTTGAGCAAACACAGCAAGGAAACAGAGGAGGGTGGGCAGTAAGACCCTGAGGCAGAATGCAGGAAAGCAGCCGCTTCCTCTTTTCAGGTTTCCCTTCTCCGAGACACGATTTGATTTTTGCCTGATTTTTGCCTCCACTCGCGCCAGTCGGCTCCAGGGACCACACATTCGCTCAATAACATGCACAGACATTTCCCCTTCCTTTTTAGGAGAAAAAATCTGCGTGTTATAGAGGGGAAAATACGGTATAAAGCGAAGTTACTGGAGATTCTTCCTGGGTTTTAAGTTGTGAGATGTACATTTCTTTTGGATCATACGCTGGGTCAGCCATTAGTCTTGCTCTTCCCCTCACCTTTCTCTCTATACCAGTGGTTCCCAATTAGCTAATTACTGAGGACCCCTTATTTTTAAAAAAGCCAAGCCACAGACCCCCTACTTTTGAAAATTTTGATTACTGTATGGTAGTTGCCTCTGCAAAGCAATTTTTGAACAACATGTGGGGTAGCCCCAATAAGCGAAGGATTTTAGGTATGCTTAAAAAACAGATCAGGATGAGTGATATCTTGTTTTCAACATCATGATACATCAGCGGCTAAACATTGTAATATCCTGATTTATAACAATGTCTGAAGTTGGAGATCAGGTGTGGGGATGAGGGAAGCACCAGTCACAGAGATTGGATGTGTCGGGGGGGGGGGAGAAGCAAAGTCACCTCCACTGCATGGCTTGAGGGGGAGCTGGGGGGGTACATCAAGCCTTCATCAGTGGGGCAGCCAGCGAAGATGCACATCCACAGTGGCTGTTGTTGTTTTCCTGCTGGCTGAGAAAAGCTGCTCCGCCTCAGTGCCAGGGGAAGGTAGTGCCACGGGGCCTTGAAGTGAGGGCAATCAGCTGCCCTGGTCTCCGTTAGCGTGAGGGAAGGCAGTTCAGATCAGCAGTGTTATCCTCACGCAAGGAGTGATATAACGCTGTGCATTGCTGGGTCAAAATCATTCTCACGGTGTGATTTCAAAAATGATTTTGGACAATATATTGAAAAGTCACATAGTGCTAAAACAGACCATAAAATTTGTGATATTACCATGGAAAAATGACAAAATATTTGGGGTGAGGCAAGGGATGGTGCCATGGACCCCCTGAGTGCGTTCTGCGGACCCTCACAGGTCCCCGGACCCCTAATTGGGAACCCCTGCTCTATACTATAGTTCTGTAAGAAAAATTGTCATCATGATGCAATTTGCCTGGCAACCAGGCAGCCATGCCAACTGCAGTGTGACAACAGAATAGCAGGCAGGCAACCCAGGTGAACTGCCAAGGAAGAAACTCCAGTGACATTTGTTGGGGGGGGAGCTTTAGAGAGTGGGTTTGGCACACCACTGCCTAAGATATTCCTGCATTAAATGTGACTGGAACAATGTTTAAAGAAGGATGGGAAGCACTTCAGATATTGGTCTGGCAAACTGCTATCTAACAGGTGTTTGGGTTGAGCTGGGCAGCTGAGTGAGTGAGGGGTGGGAGGCAGAGTGGGTGAGGGGTATGGTCAAGTGCCAAGGGAGGGGATGGCCAGGGCTGGGGAGAGGAGTGCAAGACGGGTGGGGATTGGCAAGTGGAGCGAGCAGTGGGATGAGTTCGGGTGTCAGAGTTTGTGTGATCAAGGCACCCATGCTTCCTAGTTTTAGTGTGTGTTAGAAATCACTCAATGTTTGAAGAGTTATACTGGAAGTCACTTGAAAGCTGGACTCAGCTTCCCCTGTTGAGGAGATCACTTGAGAGATGGGCCATTAACAGAGAACAAAGACGACAGGGAGCTGGGCCATCAGCAAGACAAGAGGTGGGTGGAGTCCCGCCCTGAGATTGTTCGTTGGAAGACAATGCCAGTGGTTTTTTTAGGAGGAAGTTTTAGGTTTTCAGTTGGCTGTGGTGTGATCAGGGGACAGTGGGACGGGACAGTCTGTTAAATGGAACCCCTTCATCCTGGGCTCAGGCTGAATATATGGTCAACTGGCACCTTTCACAGCTAGCTATTGCTGCAAACTTGCAGAAGCCTTCTACCTTCAGCATCAAGTTGGCCCCAGAGGTGACAAAGTAAGTTTGTACTGTACTGAATATTGTGAGGGTGCTTTCACAGTGACTCTGTTACTCACATACAATTTTTTTACTTATCTTCATCCAGTTCTATGCACTCTTGTGATAGAAAACTTCAAAATTCTGCACCAAGCATAGCTGCTTTCTGCACCTGGTATAAATTGTGAAAATTAAATTTGTATTTCCCGTGTTTCTATGTTTTCAAAGCACAAGTGCTGATCTTTGTCAAAATGTGTTTGTGGTTGTCTGCACCTTAATATCCAACTAGACTGAAGGTGTTTGGACAGTTAGAAAACTTGTGCTATTGGACTTGTTAAAGTTCTTTTCTCAGCCTGGAATTTGCTCTGAAAATGTCTGAGAATCTCTACTTTAAAGAGCTACAGAAACTTATTTCTATTCCTACTATCAGAAATATTTCAATATTCTAACCACACTTGCTTTTAAACCTGGACTGTATGCTACTAAAAGTTTTTAAGAGTCTGCCATGAAAACGAGCAATTAATAATGCAGAACAATAAAATTAATATTTACAAACAAATCCAGCAACAATTTGTACATTTTTTACACAAAATACTTTCTGCATTTACAGGATTTCGAAAAATATAGTAACAACTAAATCTCACCAGTTATATACAAAAAAGAGGTCAAAAGTAAAGGAGGGGAACCAAAACCAAACTTCCTAATACAAACAAGGATACATTTCCCCCCCTCAGAAGAATGCCACCTGGACTCAGAGCTGCAGGTTCTGCGAGGTTCAAGTTTTAGAAATCTGTATTATGGATTCTGCACCAAATCATCCTGGAGAATGACAAAAGTTTGATTTTTTATTATTATTCAGAAGCAGTGAAAAGAACAAATATTTGTTTCTAAAAGTTTGGCTGCAATAAATTGTATATGATTGCTCAGATGAAATTAATTTGGAATAATCTGCAATATCTGGATTAACACTTTGTAAAATCTTTTTAATCCTAATTGTCTAAACAATGGGCCCAACTGAACCTGTTTGTGGTGTAGAATTGCACCTATGGATTTGGATGCCAGTAGCATGTCTGCTTGGCCCCAAGACCCTTTTACGTCTGCAAAGGCCATCACCCCCTGCTCTCCATGCATGAGCACAAGGGTCGGGGTGGGGCTCAGTATGACTGATGTACCATCTGTTAAAATGTAGAGTTCTGTGAAGACTTCTTGTTGGACACATGGATTATGTATTGGATTTGGGCCTGTGAAATCTAATCCTATTTAGCCAAGGTCTTTGTCACGCTGTTTCTTCTCTGCAGAAGATGCCTGGTTAATAACATCGCCCATCCTTAACTCTGCTGTGTGGATGAATGAGACGGGGGCACTGAGGCTGCAGACCTATGCGCTATTTCCAAGGGGAAAGTCTCACTGAACGTAGTGGGACTGACTTCGGAAGAGGCATGCATGATGGAATTGCTCTGCTGAGGACCTCCAGTGCAAGGTAATCTGCCATCTGCTATGTCTCAGTTTCCAAGTGCACACAATGTCAGCACTCTAGGGCTCTGGTCTTCAACTGGTGGGCCATGATGTACCAGGTCACAGCCTGATCTAAGGTGGGTCGCAAAAGCAGTATAATTTCATGTGGATCGTGCCCTCTTCCCCATGGGTTATGATTTTCATAACAACACATAACACCAATACATTACTATTATGCTATATGGGCATATAGTAACATAGAGCATGTGTGCTATACAGTACAGCCACTCAATATAATATCTGGACATAATGCTGCAAGAGAATCTCCCAAAAGCAATTTTTTTGAGGATGGAGAGGAGAGGGGATCGTGTTTTCATACACAATAAGGATCCCGCAATCTATTTGGATCAGCCAGGGATCTACCGGTAGATCACAATCTACTGGTTGGACATCCCTGCATCTAGTTCAGCAATCCCTGAAGTACAGAAAAAGGAGCACTCAGCAGATGGAAAACTAAATTGGACAAACTGCTCTAAGTGCTGGTTTGCTTATTATATGTTTGGAAGCTCAAACCATGGTGAGAAAGTGGATGTGATGTCTTGATTGAGCCATAGTGTGGGATTTCCACAGATGATGTTGGCATTTGAACCTGGTGAGCCCTCCAGCACCAATGAAGTTGGAAGGGTAAGGAATATTTCCTACCCTTAATGTCATAAGTGGCAACTGAGTGATGCTGGTAAAACATCCTCACTCTCATTTCTATGTATTTACACCGACTGAAGGAAAACACTCACAGCAGGGACATACTGGCTGCTGGGCTTTGACCTGAGGTTCTTCTCTGAGAGGGCAGGAGATGTGCATTGCGATGCAGGGCTTGGAAGCAGGGCTTGAAGTGCCTTCATCGAGAAATGTCTCCGTGAGGAGTGGGGAGAATCCAGCCTGGGCAGAACAGCTGAAACCACTTGAGCTTTCACCGGACGTGCACTGGGATGACTCTGAACTCTCTGTAACTACAGGAAGTAGGAAGGAAGAGACCATTGACATTAGAGGCTGCGGCCAGCCTATTGTTCAACAGGAATCCCAGCAACACAACTGAAAGAAAGTAAACTTACAATCTGTGATGTTTTCAAGATTATGGGTCTTTGTAAACTGTGCCAGCTGCACACTATACAAGGTATTCTTAGCCTGTACACAAACATTTGACTAATGAAATATATGTCCACATTGTCAGGACACAAGTCTGTGTGAGTCTTGAACTGTTGACCTGAGGAATGCCAGGCAGGAACGGAGCCTGGACACCACCACTTTGCTTTGGTCAAAGCAGGAAACTGCAAGGCGACTAGCCAGATTCCAAGGCACCTTGACTGAATGCTTTTTAGCACCTGCTGAAGACATTCTTATTTAGACAAGTCTAACTCTATGCAGGTGTCTAGAAAGTTTGTATGAATTTTAATTTGTTTTAATATATTCTACTAGGATTAAACTTTTTTTGGAAGGTTTTAAATTATGGTTGTATTTTTTAGCGCTAATTTTTTGTTCCATCTTTTTTGTAAAGTGCTTTGAGGTTTTTTCCTGCAATCAAGCAGTATATAACTTTAATGAAATATAAATAAATGATTGGCCTTCCTTAATTCTGGTATTGCAATGCACTCACTCATTGAGGGCTGGCTCCCAATGTCCTGTTCCAGCTCATCTTCCTCAATACAGGCTCTGACATCGTACGACCAGTGGTAAAAAGGAGGTCCCACCAAGCCTGGGTGAGACGGGGCGGAATATATGTGCAGATTTAGCGAGCCCAGGATGGAAGATGAGGACTGGCTGCTCGAGGAAGATGTGCTGCTGTTTGAGATCGTGGAGTGGGGCCTCTTAAACGGCGTAGAGTGGTCAAATGAAGAAACAGCTATTGAGGCACGGCTCCTTGACTCTGGCAAAACAAACAAAAATATCTCTCTCAAGACCCATAAAGAGCCAAGTATATACAGTAAAAAGTTACGTCTAGAAAAGTTGTAGAGATGAGCCATAGCTCAGGGAGGTGGTGGGGGTAGAGCAATTCCTTCAAGTGCAAAATATCCAAGTTCAATCCCTGGCATGTCCTGTTGAAAGACTCTTCTATAACTCTAAAGACCTTGCCTGATACCCTGGAGCACTGCCAATAAGCGTCTACAATCACTAGGCTAGATGGACCAATGGCCTGGCTTGATATAAAGCATATTTATATTTCAGAGTGTTTCCAAGGATCCCAGAATTGGTGCAGCCTAGCCAAGCCTCTCTCACTCTACTGCATTTGGAATGTTTGAAAATACTTCTTCCTTCTGTGTTTTACAGGACCAAAATCACCATGGAATTGGTCTGCTGTGGAGAATGTTAACGTGCTACACATCTTCTCAAATTGTATGCCACAAGATGTCTACTGGATCATGGATGCACATGAGGCTGGGCCGAAGCCAATTCTGAAGGGCAGTTTGATGGCACATTTATTTATAGAGTCACCATCTTTTCCATTTGAAAACACCCTAAGTGGTGAATTATCACTTGAGAATTTAAAGGCTTGTTATGTGAGACCAAGGCAAGCTGATGGTCTGCCTGAGAAGAGAGGAGGAAGAATATGGAAGAATATTCACAGAAAGCGATCCTTTTGCTGCTCTGGCTCTGGTTGAAAGAGCCTAAAGGCTTGGGAGTGTCTTAGTGGGAATTTTGCTTTTCAAAAATCTGAGGGTCCCCTCAGTTTCAAAATTCATTTGCCTTGTGGCAAGGTGATGTTGCTATTGAGGAACAGAACTTGCAGAACTAGCTATACATTTTTTCCATGGGGGTGGGGATCCAATAAAATAATTTTTGTAAGAAGTGGACAAGAAATTTAAAAGAGTTGCCAAAGGAGTGAGGGAACGCATCAAACTGTACCTGCTCGTTTCATTATATAGTCTATTGCTCGATCACTTATAGCTGCATCACTGGGCTTGATGTCCATGAACGGTTTGTTTCCTATGCCCATTGACACCATTTCTTGCATTCGGAGTTCTAAAAGCAACCATCCAAAAACATGAGAGAAACAGTTAGGAAATATACATGTTTGAAAGTATTTTATACTAAGAAAACCCAAAATGAGTGCGAAGGAAAACGACTCTAATAATACAAACAATGCAAATTAAAGGGGAAGGATGTAAATGTTACACTGTTCCATGTGTGAAAACTGTTGAGCTCCTTGTACAAAAGAATATATGACAGAGACTTTTTTGTTTTGCTTTTTTAACAGAAAATGTAAGATTGTGTGCCAAGAGTGCTTCAGATTCTGCCACAAGAAAACCACCAATGCCATTGTCACCTGACCATTCCTAGGTCCCCATGCTTGCTCTAATAGACCAATAACATAATGTATATTAAAATAGTTTAGATATGAAATGCCATTACATAACCTTATTGGATCTGAGGCCAAGATCCAACAAAGACGGGAAACATATGCACATGGGTGGTGATGGGGTGGTTCTGAAGGAGGAAGGCCGACAATTTCTCCCACCTGCTCACCTCTTGCGTAATGCTGCTTTTGCTTGTATTCAGAGAGTGCACATAGTGACTTGCAGAGTAACCTAAGGAAAAATATAGCTCCACATCCCCAACCACTGAGGTTTTAATGCACAAATGAAATTAAATGTACCAACACTTCCTTTGGGTTTGGGGTGGGGACTGAAGGGTTATGACCCAGGGGTCAGACAAGAGTTGACTTTTGAAGGAGGGATTTGGAAGGGATTTGCGGTGGCATTACACTGGTGGTTCTAGGAAAGTGTTTCAGGTATAAAGGGCAGCAATAGGCAAAGGGCAGACTATTATGGCAGGCACACCTCGGTTTCTCAAGGCTTGTCTCCAAAGAATCTTTCCTATGAGATTTGTCCATCCAATCTTAGTTTCTACTGAATTTGCTTGAAGGATGTAAGTGTCCTGAGATTTTCTTCTCCTTCGAAACCAGATTTCAAATCTGAGGCCACTATCTCCAACATTCTCTGTCATTCCAATCTCAGCTGTCTAAAATAAAATAAATAAATAAATAAATGTGACAAAGAAACATGAGGAACACTGTTTAAGAGCATGAAAATCTATTAGTCCTGCCAAATGAAGAAGAGTATATGGATGAGGGTATAGTGGCTAGAAAACTGTATCAGTATGGATTTTCAGTCACAGAAGCATGGTTCTCACCAATGTGGATTAAAGTTGCAAGTAACGAGCACATTAATTCAATGATTACGTTTTTGTCCCACTCTTTCTCAAGGGTCTCAGGGCATATGTATATGATTTCATTTGAAAGCTAGGGCAGGCTGAGAAGTTCTGACTGGCCCAATATATAGGGTTGCCATTTTTTATTTGCCAAAGGTTTGCCCAGAGTTTTTGAACTTTTTGGCAAAATTGCAAAAAGTAAAGTTTTTGAGCTATTTTAGGGGAAATCACCAAAAATGACACTGCCCACTGGGCTGCCATATGTTCAGATTTTTAGCAATTTTCGCCTGGACACTGCTTCTGACTCCAGTATTCCAGCTGTGTCCGGGAAATTCTGGATGTATGGCAACACCATACCCAACACTATATCCATGAGTGGCCCATTCTCAATATCTGCAACTACTAGCCATGCTTGTGAAAATGTATTGAATGGATTTTTCTAGCTGGACTGCTAGAGACTGCCTTAAATAATGCATATACCAGATCACTTCCTTGTTTGTTTCTATTTAGCCCCTTCCCCACACTAGCAAGTACAAAACACTATGAGAGGTGGTTTGTTGCATTGATATTCTCCCTTTCCCTGGAGGGCTTCAAGGTGGTACCCCATTCAAGCAATGACCAGACCCAGACCTGCTTAGCTGCATCACATGCCATCAAACCACACCCAAGGCAGGAAAAGCGCACCCAACAAGGATGAAGTTACCTTAAATGACTGTTTGTACATGTAAATGTCATATCCCCCATCAATCTTTTTTGTTTTACTGAACAAGATGAGGTCTTCGAAAAGGAAAACATGCCTCAAGTACTTCTTTCGGCCACAGCACACAATAAACTCATCTTGACACCTCAGCTGTCCTTGTTCTTTCAGATTGACCTGATCAGAGAAGAAGAGACAACACAGGAGAAGGGATTTCAGATAGGAGGTTGGTTCAACTTCCTTAGGCCTGAGGGCCGCTTTGGGCTAGGGTTCTCCTAGGGTTCTCCTAGCATGAATTAAAAAATAATATTTAGCACCTTCCAACTAGAATCAAAGGTCCTTCATATACAGTGGTATCTCAGGTTACATACACTTCAGGTTACACACTCTGCTAACCCAGAAATAGTGCTTCAGGTTAGGAACTTTGCTTCAGGCTGAGAACAGAAATCGTGCTCCGGCGGTGCGGCGGCAGCAGGAGGCCCCATTAGCTAAAGTGTGCTTCAGGTTAAGAACAGTTTCAGGTTAAGAACAGACCTCCGGAACGAATTAAGTACTTAACCCAAGGTACCACTGTACATGGTGGCAGTAATCTTACAGACCTTCTCCTGCTCCTGGTGTTTTGGGGGGTGGGAGGCCCTCCAAAATGATCCTGAGGGACGGTAAGACGGTTCTAAAGCTGTAAAGCAACCTGTTAGTAAGTTCTGTAGCCATTCCCCCCCTTCTTTTTAGCTAATAACTATATGGATTAGAGTTATCAGCAGCAGTCAGGGCTCTTGCCTGGGGACTTCCAGCTGCTGACCCCAGCTGTGGGGAAAGGTTTTTCTTCCTTTCTTATTTATAACAGAATCCGGGGCCTTCCAATAAAGCTGAATGTTGGAAGCTTCAGAGCGGAGAAAATAAATATTTTTTTCACGCAGTCAAAACTATTAAATTTGCTCCCACAAGAAGCAGCGGTGGCTATCAATGTCGATGGCATTTGAAGAGCAGAAGACAAATTTATGGAGGATAAGGCTACGAATGGCGGCTCGCCACAATGGCTCTGCTCTGTCTCCACAGTCAGAGGCAGGAGGCTTGTGAATAGCAGTTGCTGCCAATCGCAAAGGGGGAGAGGGCTGTGGCGCTCAAGTCTTGATTGTGCGCTTCCCATTGGCATCTGGTTGGTCACTGTAAGAACAGGATCCTGGACCAGATGGGCCTTTGGTCTGATCCAGCAGGCTCTTCTTGTGTTCTTACAACCATCTTGTAAATGTAAGCTAAAGGTAAAGGGACCCCTGACCGTTAGGTCCAGTCGTGGCCGACTCTAGGGTTGCAGCGCTCATCTCGCTTTATTGGCCGAGGGAGCTGGCGTAGAGCTTCTGGGTCATGTGGCCAGCATGACTAAGTCGCTTCTGGTGAACCAGAGCAGCGCATGGAAATGCTGTTTACCTTCCTGCTAGAGCGGTACCTATTTATCTACTTGCACTTTTGACGTGCTTCCAAACTGCTAGGTTGGCAGGAGCAGGGACTGAGCAACGGGAGCTCACCCCGTCGCAGGGATTCGAACCGCCAACCTTCTGATCTGCAAGTCCTAGGCTCTGTGGTTTAACCCACAGCACCACCCACGTCCCATCTTGTAAATGTAGACAAGTATTATATGCAGATGCTGAGCTGAGAGTGGCTGGCCTAAGTGGATGGAGGTGTGATTTGAACAGGGGACTTCCTGCCTCATAATGTAGCCACCACCAGGCAACTAAAGCTACAAAAATTAAGGTTTCCTGAACTGCACAACAGGGATTTCAGGGGTGGGAATGTGGCTGGACTCACATCACATCCTCTGATGGCATCCATTGCAAGTAAATCATTTCCATGGCGAAGCTGGAACTTGACCATTTCTTCGGCAGCCCGGAGGGCGCTGAGCTCCTGTTCCTGCGCTGCCGAACACTCCTTGATCAGATCCTTCAAAAGCAGTGCATATTTGCTCATTCTCTGGATAGGTTTCAGCAGGTAAGAAGCCAGGTTCATTTTATCACCCAATTCCTGCTGCTTATTCTGTAAGATTAGTAGAAGGACACATAACCATTAGGTGATACAATACCACAAAGGTCAACAAATTCTGCTCAGACACAATCATAGACGTAGTAAACATTAAGCGATAGTTACTTTAAAGAAGGTATTTCCATGGCTTATAAGCAAAGCGTCTGACTGCGGCTTGTTCTTGCTGTACAATGCATACATTCCAAACTGTTCTTCCTGAAATAATGAAAAATAGACTTGGCATTTAATTGGTTGATTAATGATGATACACATCAAAGACATTTTATCATCATTTGTTTCTTTTATTAGTCACTTTGTTATTAGTCACTAATATTTATTAGTCACTTGCTTCAAAAAAGTAAAACTCAAAGCAACTTACAAAAATATTGAAAAGAAGCAGAAAAATCAAGAATAAGACAATCTAAAACACACAAGGATACTATATATAAAACCCAGATCTAACTCCACCCAACCCTACTAAAAAATAAGCAGAAAAATGAGTTCCAATGTCCTGGGTGAATAAGAATGTTTTTGCCTGCTGCCTAAAAAGAGGGAGGGGGTGGCACCAGCCGTGTCTCCCCGAGGAGAGTGTTCCATCAACTGGGGGCCACCACTATTCTGTGACTCCTGAAACAGGTTTCTTATGTTTATGTTCAACACAGACTGATTATCCTCTGACTGGTAGTATACCTGACAGCATCAGTGAGAACGTTTTATGCAAATTATTGAAAGCTAAGTAAAATGCCTTCCTACAGCAAGTGAATGAAACAAAAATTAACAAAACCTATGAGCTATGTAGCTCATTCATCAAAAAATAATAGCAAAACCTATCAGCTATGTAGGAGTGGGGGAAAATAATGGGTATTGCTCAAGAATGATGGCATCATTTTGTTAGTCTAATGAAATAAAAATAAATAAAAATAGGGATCATAAAAACTAGCAAGATGTTAAGGATGCCAGAATTTTTGCAAAAGAAATTGACTGCTTGCCAGTATGGTATAGTAGAAAATGTGATGAGACCTCAGTACATAGCCCCACTCAGCTAGAAAGCTCCTTGGTGGTCCCTTGGTCCATTCACAAAAGCCCTGTTCAGGGATGATTAAAACAGGAACATGAAGGGGTAAAGACCTGGTTTTGTTGTCCTTCATGAGTTGGAAGCCATCTGTCCAAAGCTGGGAGCCTTTGATATGTGTGGGACTCCTGCGAGACCAGGAAAACCAGGGCAGCAAACTATGCAGAGAGCCTCCACAGATAAAAGAAGCTCCCTTCTATAGACAATCTCAATCTGCAAATGGGGACGGAGCGGATTGTTCAGTCTCACTGTGGTATTATCATTATCATCATTATTAAGAATGCTGCTTGAACATGCTGAGCAGAAAGTGGAAATCACTGTTGCCAACGTGATCAACAGTTCTGACAAGCTAACAGCCACATTGTGCGCATCAGAGGCATTTGATGACATCATAATGGCAAAGAGCAACTTAGCTTCCAGAAATGCATTGAATGGAATTTTCCACTTTATTTCATGGCAACACATACAGAAAACCCGGCAGTGGTTAAACATGCTGAGTAGTGAGCAGTTATGTAAGGTTGTTGTTGCACACACTAAATAGAGCATGAGACTGAGTAACTGTAGTCCATAGAATCATAGAATTGTAGTGCTGGAAGGGAACCTCATGGTCATCTAGTCCAGCCCTTGCAACTCAGGAATCTCAGCGCTTGGTCCCTGTTATCCTTCTTTAAACCAGGTAGGTAAAACCAGACAGATATTTCCTTCAGACTCAATATTCATTTTTAAGTGCTTACTAGAGATTTTTGATTAATTAAATTAAATAAAGGTTATTTCAACTTCTATAAAGTAATTTCATGTTAGAGTCTAAGACTTAAGACAGTAAAGAAAATTGCATCTGTGCTGCCAGGTGAGAGGATCAAAGTAGTGACTGAGAACACAAACCCCTTAAAATATTGGGGGGGGGGTTTTACCATACCAAGGCAAACCTTTAGAGGGGATTCAGATTGGCAAATCCTGGACCCCATCCAGTCAAAATTAAGGACTTAAAGTCCCATTGATTTAATCAGAAGATATTAGTTGTCCCATAGTACTGCTTTACTTCAGAATGACTGGACAGCCAAAAAGTTGTAATTAAATTTTGCTCCCTGCTTCTCTCTCTAACATAATGCCCTCAGGGTGTTTTCCGTGCATGCAAGTAGGAACTTGCAAAAGTGGAAATCAAGAAAAAGATTCTTGCCTGCCAGCTTACATATATAGAGAATTTGAAAACCAGCAGTTTGGGCAAATCAGGGGCTACTATAATGTACAGGAACTCGTATGGGATGAAACTGAATCACAGAATTATAGTGTTGTTTGTAATGTTCTGTGACACAAGATCAGGAAACAGCTATTTAAAACCTTTTAAACAAGTGATGGAAGAGACAGGCAATATAAACAAATGTAGGGGAAGTTGCATTAAAGATCTTTAAGGCAGCTATCCTATACACAGTTACCTTTGCCAAACTCATTGAGGCTTACCTCTTAGTAGACATGTATTGGATTGTACAGTAATTCTCCAAGTGAAATACAAACAGGTATTTAGTGGCAGAGGCAGAACACCATTATTCAAATCATTACAAGTGCACTCTGTCCCTTTTCCTCTAGTGACACAAATCAGAAATCCCATTTAAAAGCAATTTTTGGCAGGGATGGGGAATTTATCCACCAGCCAATTGGACCAGGGTCATTTACTGATTTGTGTAGGCCATAAAATGTCAGACCCTGTGATCTTTCAGGTCAGGAGCTGCTCCTTTCTTGACTGTAATGGCAAAGGAGCGCTTATCCCAGCCACTTATCCTGGGACAGAACAGGCAGCTGGGATCGTATGATATGTATGTGTGTTTGGGCAGGACAAAAGGGATAGGGATCAGTTGGACTGCCAGCCTTATTCTAGAGGCCGTTGCTACTTGTCTCACATGAGCAGGAAACATGACAAACTGTCCATGTGCTGAGAGATGCCACACAGGCAATTTAGTGCAATGGAACAAGAAGGGCAGTGGTGTTTCTCAGGGTCTCAAACTTTCAGCAGCACCCTGCTCCATGCCAAAATCCACCCTCCCTCTGCCTCTCACGCTCCATTCTAAATAACAGTTGCGGTGCCCCTGGTGGTGTGCTGAGGCTCTGTGCCCAGTGTGACCGAACCGGTCCCCCTCCCCTAAATCTGCCTCTGAAGAAGGCCAAAGTAAGATGCCTTTAACTAGAAATAACTATATGGAGCTATCTCTGTGGGGAAAATGCAGTACAGAACCCTGTACAAACATGGTGTGCAGAGAGAGAGAGGAATTACAGAATTAGATAGTGGTATTTCCTAGTAATACATTTTTTAGCCAATACAAGAAGATATCTGAGGACAATAACACACTCCACAATGGAAAATGAGACTTACATGTCTGAGAAAAGAGTGGCTGACCCGCAGGGGGAAGTCTGTGCAGTGTTCCAGTTCTTTCAGGAAATACAGACAATGGAAGTCATACAGCTTTTCCAAATTTCCAAATATGATATTCCGCTTCCCTCGCAAATCCTGAGGTAAGTCAATCCTTTCCATTTCTGGAAAATAGCTGTTGATGATATAGCCTAAAGATCTGACATACTCCCTTTCTGTTGTGATCATCTCATCCATTATGTGGTTCACCTTACTGTTGAAAGAAACAGAAGAATTGCATGGAACACAGACAACAATGCTTAATTAGCAGTAACTTAAGAATTTAGCATCACAGGATAGCTTTGGTGAACCAATCATACCTATAAAGACATGGAAATATATTGATGACAAAATGCATACATGTGATGACATAAAGCAGACCTGTGTACTGCCTTCTGGGGAACTCCCGATTCATAGATTTCCTTTTGCATCTTACATGTTCTGAACTGAAGACACTTCTCCATCTCTGGGCCTGTAAATGGGAATGATTCCCAGGAGTAATATTGTACTTTTCTCACTTGAGAAATCATCCATGCAAAAATCAGGGTTGCCTCATTGGCTGCTAAACGGTTATTGCAGTGTACTAATTCTGGCAAAGCTCTACCAGCATTTGTAGTTACAGCAGCCAATCTTAGTTCCTGCAGGTTTCAGGCTCTTATTTGCAGCCATAGTTTCCCACTCCACCCTTCCCACTATAAAAAACCACGTACACTTTGACAGTGAAGGGCCTAACCACGTCAGATGCTGTAGAAGAACAGTAACTAGCTAGGAAGACAAAATAGTTTTCTTATTTGAAACAGGCCCCCCCTACACAGTACAGAAACGTTTCCTATTAATCTGCAAAACTATTATGACCTTTTCTGTGTTTACATTCTACTGTAAAACAGAAGAACATTCCAGAGATGATATACAGCTGCTTTCTCATGAATTTCCCCAAACAATACAATATTCAGCACACAGGGAGTTCCTACTGGGAAACAGGCCTGAGACTGAACGATTGAAAGGCAAGCCGTGAGGAAAAGGATTTAAAGAACTACTGGCAGTGGGATTACTGACTTCTCTTTCCCTGGATAGCAGACCTCACTGCCATACTGCACACTGCAATTGAAACTCCCCCGTTTGCTGTGTGGCATATGGTATACATGTATTGGCGGGGGGGGGGGGGCTGTCAAGGGCTGCCACTAGAGAAAGCACCAAATCCTCCTTATTTGACTCTCAGCCAATTAAAGCAATTTTAGCTATTTATGAATTTAGCTGAATGTTTATAAATTAAGTGAATCTGTATACATTTGCATCTAGCAAAAAGCAGTAGTTTTGAGACAGAAAGCAAACTTTCTTTGGGTTTATATGATATATACATGCACCAGCAGCACAGGAAACATCCTAAAAAACACCTCCCCTCCTGTGCGATCTGAAAGGGAGGAAGGCCCCCTTTAAGGCAGTGCCTGCTATCTGCAGTCATGTGCTACTCCAGGGACTCCAGGTTCTTACCCAGGGTTTGTTTCCTTTGGAAATGAGGCACAGCAGAGACAGTGGTGTCTTAATGATATATGGTTTATTTACACATATATACAACCTGAGCCTATGCTGGAGGGGTTCAGAGCGTTACACTCCAAGCTGGTCCCTTGCTTCTCCCATACGCAGGTGCAGCAGCCTTGGATACAAAACAAAAATCTGCCATCCTCTCTGCCACAGTTTTGCTAGCACATCACTGTCCACAGCCATCCTAAGAATTCTGGCCTTTTGTCTCCTGCTAATGAACTCCAGACGGAGGGGCTCACATCCCTCTGCTGTCCAGCAGAGAGCAACTGCTTTGTTGATGGCCCATCTCCCTGCTCCTTTGTTTGCACAACAACTCCGCCATTCTTAGGCTTTGTTCCCCTAACAACCACACTCAGTGCTTGGCAGTTTAAACTCCCCCAACCTTAATTAATTCTAACCTTTATTGGACCCAGGAATTTAGGGTGTCTCACGCCCCACAAATTCATAACACTATTTATTTTAAATATATATTAATCAGGGTACCTGTTCAGTCTATCAAATGTGCTATTTAATGATATTTACCCTAATTGGTTAAACATTGATGCTCTGCTCCTTAAGACGTAATTGTGAATGTATTTGCAGAGCTGTTTGGATCTTGGCCAATAGATTTTGCATAAATAATAATTATACAGTAGTCCAACCATTTCTGCAGGAATGCCAAACTTCTGATTTTGGTCCCTGATCACAACAATACCAAGCTATTTTTCTTGGAAAAGTCCTAATAAATAACAAGATGAAAAAATCTTTTTTAATAATTCCAGTGGCACATTAAAGATCAACTAAATATAAGCTTTCAAGGTATGAGCTTTCATGCGTAATACACACTTCGTCAGGTGCTTTCTTGGAAAAAGTAATTCTGGCACATCTCTGTACTGAGTGGATACAGATAATTCAACCACAGAGGAATGAGAAAGGCAGCTTAGAGTCTCCACTAATTTATTTCTCACAGTAAACCAATGGTTTTCTCTCGTCACACTAGGGTGCCTGGCACACAGTTTAAAACTGAACAATGCCAGTATAAGTGGCTCAAAACCCTTTAGAGCATCATCTAATCCATCTCTTCAGTTAAACATATGCTATGTGGCACCTTTGCCCACACATTGGACCAGGGTGCTGTACCTGCTTCATGTGACAGATCAGCCTAGGACAATATTTAGTTAGATTTGTTGCACTCAAGTCTTAGACGTGTATCTGCCACTGTAGTAGTCATTTTAGTTTCTTTTAAATATGTCTCCTGTTGATAATAATAAACAACCTTAACAATAGAAGAAATATTCTGGGTCATTAACAAAAACAGGAAGGGTTGAATCTCACACATCTAGAGCAGTGTTTCCCAACCTTGGGTATCCTTGGGACTACAACTCCCATTATCCCTAGCTAGCAAGACCAGTGGTCAAGAATGATGGGACCGGTAGTCCGAAAACAACTGGAGACCCAAAGTTGAGAACACTGGAGCACCAAATCAAGAATCAGTAAAAAAGGTAAAGGTACCCCTGCCCGTACGGGCCAGTCTTGACAGACTCTAGGGTTGTGCGCCCATCTCACTCAAGAGGCCGGGGGCCAGCGCTGTCCGGAGACACTTCCGGGTCACGTGGCCAGCGTGACATCGCTGCTCTGGCGAGCCAGAGCCGCACACGGAAACGCCGTTTACCTTCCCGCTAGTAAGCGGTCCCTATTTATCTACTTGCACCCAAGGGTGCTTTCGAACTGCTAGGTTGGCAGGCGCTGGGACTGAGCAACGGGAGCGCACCCCGCCGCGGGGATTCGAACCGCCGACCTTTCGATCGGCAAGCCCTAGGCGCTGAGGCTTTTACCCACAGCGCCACCCGCGTCCCACCAAGAATCAGTACCTATAAATAAATTTGTCAGAATGGGGAAATGCTGTGGAATAGTCTCTCTGCAGACCAGTAGATAACATAGTTTGAATTGTAGTCTTCTTAACCTAGGTACCAAGGAGAGTGTGATTTGGAGGACAGAAGCAGCAGTGGGGAGGGATGCTGAAGCTGCCCCCTGCCTAACACTTCTTGCCTATGCTGCCCTCCCCCAGCCCCTATTTCCAAGTCTGTTTTCCAGCCGCATGCCTGCCAAGGCTTGAGGAAAGGCTGCAGCGGGAGGGTTCAGAGAGGAACTTAGAACTTCAGGTGCATCACCTCTGAATTTGGGGCTGGGAATATCTGGAGCCAGACCTAATTTATGGAAATGTAAAGAGTTTTGGGGGATGGTTTGGGGGTGAACAAGCCTAGCCTTAATCCAAATAAAATGGAAGTGCTGGGAAACTGGCCAGTCTGGGTGGAGATGTATTGCTGAACCTAGATGGACTGCACTCCCCGGAAGGATGAAGGTCACAGGTTGGGTGGGAGCACTCCTGAATTCGACACTAATGATGGAAGCACCGGTGGCGTCAATGGCACAGAGTCAAGGGACAGAGCCTTCTAGCTGGTGGCCCCATGGCTGCAGAACTCCCTTCCTACAGAACTATGAAGCTACAAAAAGCTACTTCAGTGCAGTGCAGACCTTCAAATGTGCATTGAAGGCTTGTTTCTTCCAGTCTGACTTTAACATTTTTTCCCCATGCGCTTGATTCCACTTGGTATGTTCCTACAGTTCTGGATTCTTTGTTTTCTAATATACAGTAATTATTTTTAAGTTTCAAATGGATCTCAGCTGATCTCATTTAGTTGTATGCTTTCTTGTGAAGACTATGCATTGAAAGGCAGAATATACATATGCTAAATACTTTGTAAAAAGCAGAATGGTGCACCATGATTCATTTAAATGATAGTCCTTATTTTATTAAACCAAACTTGGATTGAATGGTATCAAATGAAAGGTACCTTTAATGCAAAGTCTATTATTGTAAGAGCTTGTTTTTGGTCCAATCAAGATGAAAACTCAGTATTACTGAGTACATTATTTATGCATAATGGCCAGGGCAAAAACACAATGTCAAAAGTGATTTTCTTTCAGTTGCTGGCAAATTTTCTCCAAACTGTACAATATTTCTACTTATACCTAATTAACAATTTTGGCTTGTTTACTAGACAACTGGATGACAGCAGTATCGTTCACGAGATCACTGAGTCTGGCAACCCCAGCAGAGTTATCTTATCCTACATTGTCTAGTTAAAATTCATTTGTAGGTGAAGGGAAGCCTGTCACAAGAGTTCCATTGTTGCTCCTGATTCTGATTAATCTAGGAACACATTTTGACACTCTCCAGTTCTGGTCACAAATGAAAGAAGTTAATCTGAAAATCTACAATTCAGCATCTCAAAAATGGAAGTCTTGCCCAAATAAGAACAAAAAGAAACTTTGGCAAAAGAAATGTAAGAGATGGAAAGAATTCGAGAAGTGCTTTGTCAGAAAAATTATTGCCAACAGGATTAAAACACACACACACACACACACACACACACACACACACACACCAGAAGCAGAAAACCAGCTGGGGGGGGTAGTTGGATGTCAAGTAAATTAAATGTATGCTAGAAGACAAGATTTAATTAAAACAATGCATTCTTTGTATCAGGTCTTCAGCATGGAAAATGTAGGTCAAGTACTGTTACCTGAAATGATATTTTTAGGGAGCCTGAAAAACTGAGGCAAATACTGATGACAAGAGATGAAGTTCTAGCATTTGCAGACAAATTAAAAATGAGCAAATCATGAGGTCTGAGAGTTCTTAAATAACTCAAATCTGAATTTGCTAGTCTTCTAACAAAATGTGTAACTTGTCTGTAAGATTGCAGAAGGGACTAGGACATTACAGGCAGTTTAATGTCTGCTCTGCATAAAGTGGGAGAAAGAATTGGTTGGTGTCTGTCTGAGGAGACACTGGAGAATTGTGCCTTTGAGGGTAAAGTCAAACAGTTGGAGAGTTAAAGTGCCTGCCGTGGTTGTAGAAACCGAAACAGGAGAGACATGTTTTGCTGCAGCTGGGGCAGAGGAAGGTGTCTGGTTGTGCTGCTGCAAGTGTACCATGATGTTTCTTCTCTCTGCGCTCCTCCCAGTGGTCATTCCTCCTCTCGTCCCACACAATGGGGCTGATACTGCCAGTCTTGGTAATTTTGTCTACTTGGGCTTCACCATAACCAGCAACCTCTCCACTGATGCTGACCTGGACAAGAGTATTGGCAAGGCAGCAATGACTCACCTCTCCAAAAGGGTATTGGAAAATGTGGTGCTAATGGAAAAGGATTGTTAAAGACAGCTAGGCGTGCAGAACAACTCATGCTGAAGAATCAACACGGCTTCTGGAAATGGAAGTCTTGGAGTTCCTTAAATGTCAAAAAGCATGTAAATAGCGGCAATTTGCAGAGACTGCCAATGTACTGTAATAAGTTTGCAAAACACTTTGCTGATGGTGAGGAGCACGGAGACCTAGTCCATGAGGAATGATGAGGATAAGTGATGATTAAGTGGCAATATGACAGCCGTATCAAATATTTGAAGGATTAGCACATAGAGGATGGACCCAATTTATTTTCTAGTGCTCCAGAGGGTGGGATTTGAACTGATGGATTCAAATGAAAGGAAAAACTTATTCAGACTAAAAAGCATGAGCTGTAGAGTTGGAAGGGACCACAATGGTCATCTAGGCCTCTTCATTGGAGGCTTTGAAGCAGAGGCTGGGTGTTCACCTACCTGAGACAATGCAGAAGTGGATTTCCTGCATAAGCAGGGAGTTGACTAGATGATCTCTGAGGTTCCTTTTAAGTTCTGCAAACCAGCTTATAAATTATGACCTTATTGTAAGGATTTAGAAGCTTAGTGAAATCTAAGAAGTTCAGTATCTGTATCAGAAGGGATGCATGCACTACAGAAACCTGTCTGCCAGCGTATCTGTATGTACCACAAATGGGGGGAAAGTATCATTGGTGAGGTAATGTCCAAGAAAATTGGTGAGGTAATGTTTCAGAAAATGTCCAAGTTAGAGCCTTCCACTGACACAGTACGTGTAATCCTGAGAGCTAAAATACAAGCAAGTCAATGGCATCAAGACATTTGACAACATCCCAAACTCACATCAGCTTCAGATCTTGGATGGAAGTGTTAGCGACAAATTTGAGCCTATTATGTGCACTTTGCCATGTTCTCCGGTGACTGTTTTGGACCTTTGCAAGTGTTCATGTGTGCACCAGAGATGTGCTCCACCATGTATCCGCAAGACAAGCAAACTGAGTTGCAGTGAGAAGTGCAGATACGGCAGCAATCAGGACCTCTGCAACAGAAACGGTCTAAGCTATATTACCGTACTATTATCTCATGCTATACTGAATCGTTTACTGTTTATACTGGATTTATAGTGGAAATATAAAATTTAGCACTCAGCAATGCTGATTTTTCACATTGATTGGACCCAAACCATTTCTTATGCAATACTTTTCATTTGATATTATGCAACCCATATTCGGTAAACTTTATGAAAATAAAGCATGGCATTTAACTGAATCACCCAAAACCACTTTGTTTCAAATGTTACCCGCTCTCCCGCCACAGCCGCCAATGATGTGTGTTGCCCACCATCAAAATTCATAAGCTGCATGCTCCAACAGCAAGAAGACCTGGGAATCTGGGAAAGGGGATTTCCTATGACTGCCCTCTGCAGCCCTTCCCCTTTGCTACTGTCAGCTTCCTCTGCAAAAGAGATCAGGGAGCCAGCTGTGAATCAACTACCTTGTGAGAAGACCCTACCCACTCTGAACTGAATTGATGGATAGCTTCCCAGCTTCTGCATGAAGATCTCCAGTGAAGGAAAAGTATACTATCGTACTAGATTAGTTCAGCAATGGAACCAATTTCCCGAAGGTGTGCTGGGCTCTTCCTGGAGGTCTTAAAGGACAGGGTTGTTGTTCACATCTTGGGGATTATCTAGCTTCAGATTTCTCGCCCAGAGCCTACAAGGCTCCTCCAATTCCATGTTTAACCTGGAGACATACCGTAAGAACGAGAACCAGCTTCAACTTGAAAAGTGAATGTCTGGTCCTGATTGTTGCAAAGGATATCCTGAAACTTGAAGGCTATGTCTACCCTAATGTCTACCCATGTGTATGCTCCACATACATGAGCAATACAGGTACATGTGACCAATTTGGGGGTACTTGAGTAAGAAGAATATGTGACTCAGACAGCACACTTCCCATAACTCAGAACATGTTGAAAATGCTGGATAACAGTCTGTGCCAAGAAAAGAGAAGTCTGGTACTGTAAAACTGAAGAGGTCCACAATGGGGGAAAGGTTTGAAAAAGGAAGAAAGAAGCAAAGAGAATGTGCTTATTTGTTTTATTGACTATGGGAAGCAGATTAACATAATGAGTGCTGATATGGGAGGCTGTGCATCTGTAGGTCATGAAAATAAATGTTTTGGAAAACATGATTGCTTACCTGTAACTGCTGTTGTTCTTCAAGAGTGGCCCAAAATCATACATCAGGGTAACCAACCACATAGGCTACTTGGAGGAAAACCCTTCTAGAGCCATGTCACATTGGTCTATGTCAGCGTTTGGCATCTGTGGCAGATCCTTATCAGTAGCGTGGGAGTCTCCTGTCTTTTCAGTAGTCCTCTACCAGAGCCAGGTGCCTGCCTTCTGAATGAATTAGGTTCTTTTACCCCATGCACTGTCAATCCTTTTGGGCATAGGTGGCTCAAGAGAAGAAATTTCAGCAGGCAGGTGAGTGAGAAGTTTTGCATCCCTCCTGGAGAGTTTATCCTCCCTCCAGGAGAGAGACCTTAAAAGAGGCTCTTGATTGAGGATATGAGGCTTCTCTCTAAATATATCGCATCAACTTTTCTGGGGTTAAAAGACGGATCCAGCAAAGCACTGTCCAACCTCAGTCTGGAACACTCTGCACCCCAACAGTAAGAGGGCATTCCACTTCAATGTGGAATAATGAAGTAGGGGAGGTCTCTGGGCCGTAACTCTTAGCATGGGCAATGCTGCAAGACATACAGAACTCCCCTTCTGCCAGAGTGATAAGGGAACCTAGTAAAATAAATGGTGAATTGTATGTGCCCTGCCATGAGAAGCGAAACAGTCCAGCTTCACCTCCATGAAAGAGGTCAATGTCAAATGAAGGTCCTGCCATTATCAATCTATATCCTCAAATATGATGGTATGTGGAAGGCCTCTCCACAACACTAATTCTGCTTTAGAAGGGTTTTCCCCTGAAGGTAGCCAGTTTATTTGGACACCTATGTGTGCAAATTTGGTAAAGATCCAGTTCCAGAAACACATATTAGAAGGAAGCTCTGAGTGCTTTTATGTGGAACAATATTTTAAATGCAGTAAAAATAGGTCAGTATAAAAAGTAATATATTGTGACTACGTCTGATAACTGAACTAGGTTATCTGAGGCAGTACAATTTTCCATCTTATTGGCATGGATGTTACAGCATAAAGTATTTTAAATGCAGCCCCCTTACCCTTTTGTTCTTGAGGAGGCAAAGCACTGAAAATGGCAACTCAGTGTCTAATCAATCCTTCTAGTCAACTTGTGAACATTTGGCTGGCATGTGTTTTATGGTATGATCATCGGCTGATACATTATCAGGAACCAACAGCACTCACAATTTAGGAGAGCCCATGCTTCAAGTATATACATCAAATATTTATACTGTATTTACTCAAGTCTAATGCTCCATCGAATCTAATGCGCACTCAATGTTCAGAACCTTGAAACCAAGAAAAGCATTTGCTTGCAAATGTCAATGAGCCAACAAATCTAATGTGCACCTTAATTTCGCAATGTAATTTGGCCAAAAAAGGTGCACATTAGATTCAAGTAAATACGGTATACACCCCATATTTATAACCGCCGAAACCAACACAGGCTTAGGAGGAAATGTTAAACAGCTCTCAGATTTCACTGTGCAGGCTAAAACACCACAGGAAGAATCACATTGCTAAAGCTTCTCTGCCATGTAATTATCACCATTCACTTCAGTGGAAGGGACACCTGCCCCTCTGCCTATGGCAGGTGGTACATTTCCATGGGCAAACAAAGCCCAGGCCCCTAAGAGATGGCTTGATGTTTTCTCTTTCTCTCAGCAGCACTGAATTATTTACCTATAACAGGCAGATTTAGGTCAATAATTCAGTGCTGCTGAGAAGAGAAATGGGCACTGTAATCTTCTGAACTTGTTGGTATCTTTAATTTTACTCCAAGAACAAAATAGACCACATATTTGACGCCTTGAGCTCAGATTCAAAATTGATTGTTGAAAGCTGCCTTGAAGTGTCTATGGAACCACACCTGGTTATATATCTTAGGAAATTCAATAAAAATAATGATGACAGAAGAATCCTGCAATGTGTTGCTCAGTGAAGAGTACAATGTTACAAACAAGATTTTTGTCTGTCGCTCAGAAATGAATTTCACCTCCATTGACGATCCTCAGAACTTGACCTGCCTAAAATACTTACCTTTAATCACTTTCAGTGATTAAAGGAAAGCTAATTGACTCAAAAATGTAATCAGCTAACAATTCTACCGAGAATATGTTAAAATATTTACAGCACTTTTCAGGCTGTTTGTTCACCAGAATGGATTCCGTTGTTGTCATTTCTCACCTTCCCCCTCTTTTTTTCTCTTCTTCATCTTCTGCGTGGCGGATTCTTGAAGGAGATGATAAACTGCGATTTCTACAAACCAAAGGACTTTTGATACTGGAACGCTGCGTGTTTCTCTTTTCTGCAGCAACATTGCTGGCCACCTCCAGTCCTCTTATGTAAACTCCAGTATACCCATGATGATGCAGTTCACTGTGGTTACTCTCGTGTCGGGTCAACTCAAAGCTCTGTGTCTTCTTCATAATCTTCTTCAGCGGATGTCTCCTGTGGCGGGTGCTGGGTGTCTGGATTGGTTCTGAGCAGCAGGTAGAAATGTTGTCCAAATCCTCTGAAACACGGCTAGTCCTTTGAAACCTACCCAAGAGTGGAGTAAGAGTTTGTGAAAGCGAAGGTTTAACAGAAGAAGAAGAAAATGGATCAGTGTTTTGAGCAGCACCTTCCTGGTGTAAAAAAGAAGGCACGTCCTCAGGTGGGCTGCTACCTTGAAATGGGCCGAGTGACTTACTGTCATGGACGTTATTGAGAGTGCTAGAACAAAAGCGGGAAGATTGGCTTTGTTGTGTTGCAGATTTGCTGCCCAGGTTATGGACGTCCCTCTGGCCAATCTCTCTCAGAGTACTGCTGGACCCTTCTTCACTGGTACCTTTAATTGCTTCTGAAAGGACCTCTTCTAAGTGGTGCCTGGTCTGCTGGCATTTGAGCCATAAAATATTCCATTGTTTTAGTTCCTCCTTGTTACCCAGAGCAATAATCACCTCACTGACTTTCTGAAAGTTCTCGGCAGAAAACTTTGTAGCTTCTTGGTGGTAGCTTTGCAAAGACTGAACTGCTGGCTGAGAATACTTGGCTTCAGCTGGAAGCTTTTCAAGAAACTCATTACAGTGAACCATCCACCTGGATGCCTGGATGATTAGTGGAAAAGGAGAGAAAGAAAAAAGAATAGTTAAATGGAGGACATGGATTGATTGGCTGGTTTTACTTATATGCAGCTTTCCCACAAGGAACTGTGCCCAAAATAAGCTGTTGAGGCTGGGCAGTTGAGTCATTACTGGGGTTGTGGTCTAGCCCCCAAGATTCTAGACTGCAGAAACTGTACCCAGTCTCTCAAGATTGAAGAAAATGGCTCTCTCTGCTGTACGTCTCTATCCAAATCCACCCACCATATTCTGCAGCATGGCAGACTGTGAGCTCTGAGCTCTGAGATATGAAGAGAGATCTGTAAGCAAAGCTGTTTTCATGGAAAGTCATAGAGCTGGAAGGGAGCCAAGCGTCATTTAGTCCACCCCCTGCAGTGCAAAGTCATACTGTAGAAGAGCAAAGAGCATGCAGACACTTCTGTGATCTACTACTGAACATAACATGTAGAGTGGTGTAATATGAAATAAAAAGAAAATAGAAATATTCTTACTTTTTCATAAAATTCATATAGTTTAAGCAGCTTCTCCAGTTCACATCTCCTCTTCTCGGTTTGAATTGTGATGTTACTCAGATACCTACTGAAAGCCTGAAATTCTTCTTCAGATTTTAATGAAGAATTCTCCTTTATGAGCTGTAGCCCTTTCTGGGAATATTGCTGTAACATAAAAAGAACAACTGGTCTTACCTGAAATGTACTTTTGGGAGTGGGGCATCATATCCAACAGAATGGAATGGGTGCCCTGTTGCAAGACACTAGACAGGAGCAAAGACTTGTGGGAAGTAGGCTGGACTCCCTCAGTTTTCTGGATTTGCCAAACAGAAAGTACCAACAGAGTCCCTAAAGAGAAAAAAAAATACCTGCCCACTTCCCACTTCCTCTGCTCTGGAAATTTCTATAATAAAATCTCTAAATTGCTAAGTATCTGAAAGGCAAGGAAACACGACACAAGGAACTAGCACTCAAGGTAGGCCATACTCCCGCCCAACAGTGTATAGTAGAGCACCATAGGGTGGGGTCCATTGGATACGACGTCCCACTCCCAAAACTACACTTCAGGTAAGACCAATTGTTCTTTTTAGTTTGTGGGGCATCGTATCCAATGGAATGGGACATACCACAGTGGAGTCACCAATTCAGGCGGGTCCCATCTCTGCAATACACTGACTATAATACCTGTTGGAGCACCGTGCGACCAAAGGCCGCCTCAGCTGAGGACAGCTGGTCCAATTTGATAATTCTAATCTGTGCATTATCTTACATTTCAGGATGGGGGCACTAGCCTCTTGGAACAGTCTTATAGAAAAGGATTCGTCTTGAACAGAACCATCACTAATCATCGTCAACTTCTGCTTCTAGCAAAGAGGATGGAGTGGAAGGAAAAGGAAACTCACCCTCAGCCTCTTTTTCCATAGAGTTGAAGGGGTTAGGGGAAGGGACTCTAATATCCCAAAGGTCTCTGTTGCCACTCTGTGAACCAGGAGAAAAGGCAAGCAAAAGCCACACACTCCATTTGCCACACCGTGGGGGCGGGGGAGAAGAAGCTACACACACTCTCCTTGTCACAGCTGCCGACCAGGAGGATGAGGACAAGGGGCAGGCACTCTGTCACCACCAAAGCTAACTGGGAGGCAGGCAGTCAGGGCTCAATTTCAAAGGCGAATAGAAGCAGTCAGGCGGGGACATATTAGGAACGCTCACTCCACTGTGATCCCAGAAAAAAGGCGGCAGCCGCTGATGCTGCTGAGGGAAAGAAAAAGAGTGTGCCGACAAAGGGCCACCTGAAAGCAGGAACGGCCTTTGGCACTGCAGCAAGGGCACTGGTTCTGGAAATAACTTCAATATAAACAACTAAGGAATAAAAGAAGGGTGGCAAATAAGTGGAACAACCAAACATAAAGAGCAACGGAAAGGAGTTTTTTTTGTGTGTGGAAAAAAACCACAATGCGTAGACAAAGAACTGTAAAACTAAAACGACAATAAGGGAAATCTAAAGAAAAAAAGAGGGTTCAGAAACTAGTAAAAAACTTAGTTAGGAGAGCTAGGAGGAACGTACTGACTGTGTCTAGATAGGAAAAACTGAGGGAGTTCAGCCTACTTCCCACAAGTCTTTGCTCCTGTCTAGTGTCTCGCGAGAGGGTGAACACCCATTCCATTCCATTGGATACGACACTCCACGAACTAAAACACCAAGTTGTAAATTTTCTTTCTTCTTGACCAAACACTTTCTATTACACAAGGAAAGAAGGATTTAGGGTTTCAAAAGGTATTTCTTAGCCGATGCACAAACCATGGTGATTCTGAATCACACACCCTTGGTATTGTTGGTATGCCATCATATCAAGTTTTCCAGAGTTTCAATGGCTGCAGCAAATAGCCAAAAGCCCCATCATGGTTATGAGCCTGGTTGTCACATGTTTTAAGCTACATGCATAAAGTTTAAGAAAGCAAAGCAAAGCACTTACCATTGCCTTTTCACTGAAAACCAGGAACTGCTCCTGTTTCCTTTTCACATTTTCAACTGAAAGGAGCTCTTGATCCAAAGGCCCAATATATTGTTCTTTCTCATTTTCAAACCAGACTTTTATCTGTAAAGAATACAAGGCTTTATATCTAGAAGTAACGAACAGTTCATTTAGCACACCTTTAGCAAAAATGTGCATCTTCATCAAAATAATGTGGGTTTAAAAAACTTTACTTTAAAGCAAACGGCTCTAATGTTTTAGAATGTATGGTGCTGTTTAGTTGCAACCGTGGCCTGAAACCACTCTAATTTATATGCATGTGCATGTGTGTGCATGCACACACCCACCCCAGCCTCCTGCACTTCTTTTCCTTCACATGTTTCAACATGCATGGCCAGTGGTATAAGGGGACCACTGAGAAAGTTCTCCTGAGGGCCAAACCATGCATGTTCCTAAAAGCATGAGACAGCTCCCTCCCCACCCAATAACTTTTAAGGCAAAGACTTGATGTGGCATCACCACAAAGGAAAGTGTGGCCTTTTTTGGTCTGTGGAGGGCCACATTCACACAGGGATAATCTTTCAGTAGGAGGGGGCATATTGCCTGCTGGTGGGGGGCAATTCTGGAGTAATTAATTCCCAATAAGGTGAGCTCTACTGGGTTTGATGGGTAAGGGCGGCAGCTCACTAGCAGAACATCTCTTTTCTTGCAGAAGGTCCCAGCGTCAACCCCTGGCTTCTCCAGGTGGGGCGAGCAATGCACCCAGTCTGGAATCCTGAAGAGCCACTTGTTAGTGTAGATCAGGCATCCCCAACCTTCGACCCTCCAGATGTATTGGACTACAATTCCCATCATCCCTGACCACTGGTCCTGTTAGCTAGGGATCATGGGAGTTGTAGGCCAAAACATCTGGAGGGCTGCAGGTTGGGGGTGCCTGGTGTAGATAATAGTTTGCTAGAGGGACCAATAGTGTGAATCGGCATAAATCAGCTTCCTGGGCTCCTAAATATAAAGAGATATTCATTTACTACAACGAATTGATGGAGCTACCATTCTGGAGAGCATGGGAAAGAAATCCCTTTTTGACTAGGCACCTATTTGAACACACCCAGCAGAAGCCTATCAATTTGATCTCAGGCATTTGAAATGTAACAAAATTTTCTTTAACCTGGGGGAAACAATAAAAATAATGTTTTGTTTACATGTCACAGTAAACCATGGATGGGGAACCTCAGGTCCAGGGGCCAAATGTGTCCCTCCAGGTCTCTGTATGTGGCTCTTGGGACTCTCCCCAGGCAACTACCCTACTCCTCAGCCACACCCTCACTGGTCCTGCTCTGCACCCTCCTTGTGTGTTTCTGCCTGGCAGGGATGTGTCCTGGAGCTCTGATGATGCCTCTGGCTTGTTTGGATGGAGAACAGAGAGGAATGTGAAAGCGTGGGAGAAATTCACCTACTGTACAAAGGTGAAATTCACTGTAATCCCACGGTAATCCCTGACTCAGCATTACTTTTGAATCAGGAATTGTCGTTTGTTTTACTAACAACAAACCATAGTCTGTAGACTATGTCTCATAGCAAACCTATTTAAGTAAATGTTACTGAGCGATATGGCATGGTCTCGGTGATTGGATCTCCCAGCTATTGTTTTCAAAGTTGAAAAGCAACTTTACTGACCTGTTCACAGCCTTCTTCAAATTTTCTCATTGCCAAGAGATTCTCTAGTTGTTGCAGACATTTATTAGACAATAGAACCAGCCTATGAACTTCCTCATCTACTCGATTATACAGCTTCGTAATAGTCTCCATGGCATCTCTGTTGGAGAGAGGAAGGAAACCAAGAGTTGGTTAACTAAATAGCAAATAACTACTGAAGCTACTAGAAATTAAAAGTGCTTACCTGATCCGTTTCAAAAAGCAGTGACAAACTTCAGGTTCTGCTGGCCAAAAATGACAGAGGCAATAATCCTACATAATAATCTCTGCCCCATTACATTATGTATCATTGGTATATATTTTTAAATTAAAGGCTGTGGTTCAGAAAAATGTGTAGCAAGTTTCACTTACAGAGTGGAGTTTTGGAATGTTCCCTCTAACTTCGAGTTACCCAATTCAGATTACAGAACAAGCTGTTTTTGAGCTTCACGGAGTAGTTTAGGTTATTAGCAGTGGCAGAGAGCCTGCACTTTGAAATGAATGCATCAAAAGCTGAACTTTGCATGCCTATAGGATATGTGGGCTTTGTCCTTGGTGCTGGCAAAACACTACACAGTATTTAACTGTCACCTTGGACGGCATTTTCTCCTGTCTCTTTCTAAAACACAATGTGATCATTGGTTCCTTTGCGACACCTATGGTGACATTTTCATTTGTTCCAACATCCAGATTATTTTTTTAAGCATTATTTTCCAACTGGCATTATTTTCCAACTAATGACAGAGTGCTTAACAATGCATAATGCAGTAATATTGGCATATGAAGTACCTACCTATAATCTTCTGTGTTACAGAACTCTTCCTTTCTAAGCCTTGCAAGGACTGTCCCACCCTCAAGCCTTAAGGTGACCAACAGTTTATCTTCCAGAACAAGTTTCATCATCGTCTTGTGTTTATTCATTAAGTCATCCACCTCCTAAAAAAAATATTGAAAGCCTGTTTGCTTTGCAAGTAATTCTGCAGCGAATATACCTGAAAATGCAGCACTCTCTTATTGAAGAACTCAGACCCAGCATTGGCAACCAGCCAGACTGGATACCACCCAGACCAGCATTATAGTTTTTTCCTTATAAGAACATGGTGACACTGGTGGAAAGCACCAGACTGGACAATTCTTCAGAAGCCTCTCTCTGCCTGTCCTGCCACCCAGTAAGCTCATGGGGCAGGGCCTGCCTGAGAGTCATCCGGAGGCTCCCTGCAGAGAGCCCCAGACGGCCTCTTGCCCTGGGCCCCCCTAAACATGGTCCAGCCATGCATTTCCATGACCTAATGGATGCAGCAAACAGCAATGCAAATATTGTGATCCTCATATTAGGGGTGGAAGGATGGAGAAAGAGGGAAAGAGGGAGAGGCTTGTGGGAGAGGCAGATTGGAGCCAGGAGACTCCTATTAATAAGCTCTGTTTACTCCTCCCCGCAAGCAGTGTTTCAAACTCAGTTAAGTACAGCTGGTGCTACAATTTAAAAACACTGAACAAGACCAATACTCACTTGTGCAGTACTTGGCGTCTGGATATTGCTGAGTGAACATAAAGAGTATTGCAAGAAAACAAGGGCCTCTTTGCAGTTTGTAATAAATGGCTCAAGTTTCTGGAAATACAGGTACAATAAATGGTTAAAATGGAACAGAAAACAGCATTTTTACAGTTATTCGATAGTACTGATGAGCTGTGCTTGTGATAGGATGTGTCCACATGCACAAAATTGCAACATTAGGTATATTATTAAGAGTCCATTGAAATAATAAGCTTTAGATTTCATTAAATTTCAGTGTACTCTCTTTCCAAACTGGTTCAGCAATAATGTCCACCAATGTTGAGAGTTAGTATTGCCTCCTTAGCTTGCACCATGTGTTTCTTAGGACACACAAACAACAAGTCATAAACAGGTTGGTTGTTTTGAATTCAGGTCATATCTAGTGACCTGAATTAAATATTTGTCCTGTCCACATTTTTCTAATAACCAGGATCCAGATGCTCAGAAATGCTGCTTACTTGACTATGAGAGGATCTTATAGGAGTTTAAATTGGTTACCTAGCATACTGGGGCATTAAAGCAGAGGGGCAGTGGGCTTGGGGAAACCCAGCCAGATGTCTCAAGACCTGAAACACATCTGGGTCAGAAGAAATGTTGTTGGGGGAGAGTTTCAGCATGATGTGTCCACTGCAAATCACCCTCCACCCCACTTTAGAGCTGTGTGGTACAATCAGTATTTGAAGACATGGGTCATACCACCATAAATCTTGTCTCAATATGAATTACATTTATAGAGTTCAACACCTTTACAAATCCCTAAGGCACTGTGGTGAAAAAACTATAGCTGATCTGATAAGGGCTTTTCCCCACTGTGGTGGTCATGACAGCCCACTCAATCTGCACATTCTTTTTTCTAGATCCTTTTTTTAAAAAGGAAGATTCACTGGCTTAGTTCAGACATCACAGCAAGCCATGGCTTGCACCAAGCGTAATTCACAATGCAAGTCATAGTTTGAACTTCCAAAATACTATAAACAAACCATGATTTAGAGCAGTCTGTCTGCTTTTGTTTTTCATCTCCATTGTGCAAACAGCCTCTGGAAATGGAGAAATGGCTGTAATTGTGGTTTGTCATTTCCAAACAACATGCCAAATCCTAGGTAAGACTTCTCAGCCACAATCTCAGATGATCCCTGAATTAACCTAAGAATGTTTACCTGGATCATTCTTGATTCTGGTAAATATTATTAACAACTAACTTTTATGACAAACTAAATGTTAACCAAGGCAATCAAAAATTGTTTCAGAAGGCACCATTAAAAAGAGTTCCAAACCTTAACTCACCCTTCGAAAGCATATCCAGTCATTATGACTATAAGGGAATGTTCCATCAAACTCTGCTGTCAGTTGGGTACAGTCAATGAATCTATGCAAAGCCTTGAGTGATGTGAGAACTTCACACTGTCAAACAAAGTTAACACCTATATAAAATTTGTAGATAACAAACTTTTGAATGAGATTTGCATTGTGTCAAACAAAAGAAAACCAAGTCCCAGGATATTTGCTGGATGGCTAGCAATGCACCTTTAACATAATCTTGAAGAATTGCAGCTGGTCAAAAAGTAGCCTGGCAGCTTTCTTCATATATGGGGTTTCCCTTTTACCAAATTCTTCAGGAAGGGGAATTTGCATTATCTGAGTACTGGCATAAAGTGGGAAAGTAGTGACATCAGTGTACCCACCCCTTCAGGGAGAATTCACTGAATGAAGTGCTTGGTGAATGAGGGAAGATACTCACCATATAGCCTGACATAGCAGCAGCATAGCAATCTGACTCTCTTCTCTGCAAAGGACGGGCAGAGAACCTTTCTCAGCCTCTTCTGGGCAACTATCTGAGGGACATGTGCCATTTGTGGGCAAAGCCAGAAGCAAAAATAGGCAAAGCAACTAATGCCCATTTGAGCTTTCTAAAGTAGCCTTGTGTCGATGTCACTCACACACAGCTCTCTGTCTTCCATCCAGACAGGCAAGAGGCAAGGTCAGAGCTCAAGGACACATTCCAACCAAAACACTCAAGAGCAGGGTCAGTGAGGGGGGTGGCCCAGGGAGAAGATCAAGGGCGAGACAGGTGGGTCTGGAGGACCACATCTGGCCCCTGGGTCCTAGGGCTCTCACCCTTGCTTTAAAGGGACACTATCCCACAAGGAGAAAAACGACACACAGAGGGTCACACATTTAGGTTGACATTAGCCAGTCCTTACTCAGTCTCCTTTGATCTCAGAAGGTTTTGTTGTTGTGAAGCTAGTTACCTATGCTGTCTGGCTTTCTGAGAGCAACATAGCAGAGATGCTTACTGCAGGATAACTGTTGCATAATTCACATGAGCTTTCCATATTTAAAATTCTGTTTAAATATATATATATATATATACCTGAAATGCAACTTCTTTGTCAGGCTTGAAAGCAGACTCCTTATCAGTCAAGATCAGAACACTATGAATGGAATGAGGAATGGCATTCTAAAAACAAAATGAATTTGATGAAATACAATATGCACACCTTATTTGAAATAAGAATTAAGAAAAACCAACAGCAAAAACCAACAGCAGCAGCAATCAGTGAGGAGGATTCAGACTGGAATGACAGTCAGCAGATAATTCCAGCACAGTGGAACCTCGGGTTACGTACCGTCCTCCTTACGCATGCTTTGGGTAACGCGCTCCGCTAACCCAGAAGGAGATGCCCCTGGGTTGCAACCTTTGCCCCAGGATGCGAGCGGAAGTCGCGCACTGGCAACGCGCTGGTAGCGGGAGGCTCCATTAGCAAAAGCGCGCCTCATGTTAAGAACGGTTTCGTGTTAATAACGGACCTCTGGAACGAATTAAGTTCGTAACTGGAGGTACCACTGTACTCCAGAAGCCCCGTTGATCTTAATATAAATGTGTTTTGTATTTCACACAAAAGACTCTTTAGCAGACATAGTTACAGTAAGCAGAGTACTCTTTTTGATGTTGTCACCTGCTCCTTCTGAGAAAGCAAGGAGAAGTAGCAGTAACATCTGCACATCTTGTCCTCTCTCTCTCTGTGGAAGTGGCGTGGGACTGGGTAACAGCAAGGAGGAGGAGGAGGAGGAGGAGTGTGCACCTAGGGAGATGTCCAAGGGCTCCCAAAACCTGAAAATGGCATAAACAACTGGATTGACACCTCCTTTGCCTCACTTGCAGAAGGTAAATACGGCTGGCAGGTCTCCTGAGACTCGGATATGGTGGTGAATCTTAAAGCAGAGAGCCTGGTGGTAGCTGGTGGCTCAGGGATGGAGCCAGAGGGAGTGCAACTAAGAGCGACAACACCTGTCATTAACGTACTTAACTTTGGCTGGGCAGTGTTCAAAGTTTTAACTCAAAAAGGAATGCTGAATGCCACTGTAACTTTTAGGAAATGTTGCTGTCCTCACTCACATCATTATAATCAAATATAGTATGGTCAATGTTACACACCCCACCTTCTTCAAGTTCACCAGAATCTGCAGAGAGCCAAACTGTATTTAATTTGTGTAACTAAAATGATGAACATTATAAAATTGAATTGTTTCCAAAACACATTTTTTGTTCAAGCAAGGGAGCAGATAATAACAAAGGCATCAGTTAAATCTCCACTTCATAAGAAAATGTACAGAACAACCTTTTTTTTAGGAAATGCCCTTTACATTATTGTAGATACAAACTTTGATGCACTATGAATTAATTTTTTTTAAAAAAAATCAAAAGTGGAGTTAATATATGGAAAATGCCAGATCCTTACAAAGAAAGGGATTATAATAAATAACAGCATTATTCAACTACTTTCAGCCGAGGCCAGAGTTTGCTAATACACTGTGCCAAGACAAACTGCCTTGCTTTCAGAATTTAATTCAACTTCTTGTGATAACTTGCTTTTCCACACGGAAACATGCCTGTCATATTGTAGGTGTATTGAAAATACTAAAGTCAGCTTAGAGAGATAATTATATTGCTGTGAACTGAACAATAATTAGCTTCCCCACCTACATAATGACTTGGAGACCACAAAGTACCTGATTACCTACTACTAGAAGCTTTCCCCAGAACATATTTCACCCAAACCTGTAAGTATGTTAGCCGAAGAATGCTATTGAAACTCCATGACATTCAGTAGGGGGCTACAAATGTTGGAAAACATGTCACATGCAATGCTTTCAGGATGAAGGACGTGTAGCTCCAGAATTGGCCTCCACCGTCACTTATGGACTCATTGTTAAAACCGTGTTTATGAAAGACAATCTTACTCAGCTACGAGGGATCGCTAAAGAAGAATCCATAGTGCTAGCCTTTTATAGTTCCAGGCCAAAGAATGAGAATAAACACTAGCAAATGGGTATAAATCAACCATTCTTACCCCCATCACTATAAGTAGCATAAACGGAATACCCTGAAGCTTAATGCTAGTAGATTTCGGATTATCAACAGAAAAGGCCTACTGAAAATGCCCTGGCTTCAAAAGAAGAAATATTGTTCATTGTCCCTGGACCAGATGGACACATAATAATTATAATAATTATAATAATAGCCTTCTTTTAGTTTGTGATGCTAAATACATACATACCTGTAATGCTGTAAAGGCTTTGAAGAGGACAGCTACATTCTGACTTTTGCGGGCATCCACTAAAATAAGTAGCCCCAAAGAACGGGAATCCTTTCTGAAAGAAATAAGAGGACGTTATTTAAACCACACTTACAAAATGTTTAGAAGTACAGTGGTACCTCAGCTTACAGACACTTCAGGTTACAGACGCTTCAGGTTACAGACTCCGCTAACCCAGAAATAGTACCTTGGGTTTAGAACTTTGCTGCAGGATGAGAACAGAAATCGTGTGGTGGCAGTGGGAGGCCCCATTAGCTAAAGTGGTGCTTCAGGTTAAGAACAGTTTCAGGTTAAGAACGGACCTCCGGAACGAATTTAGTTCTTAACCTGAGGTACCACTGTAAAATGAAATACGTGGCCATAATGAGCACAGAGGAAGATTAAATAGCAATTTACACCATGCAGCAGCCATGAAAAAGGCAAATTCCATGCTAGGGATTATTAGGAAAGGAACTGAAAATAAAACTGCTGGTATCATAATGCTGAAATCTATGATGCAACTGAATTTGGACTGCTGTGTACAATTCTGGTCGCCTCACCTAAAAAAATGATATTGCAGAGTTGGAAAAACGTTCAGAAAAGGGCCACCCAAATGATTAAGGGGGAGGGAGCAAGTGCCTTATGAAGAAAAGTTGCAGCATTGGGGACTTTTTAGTTTAGAGATAAGGTGAGTAAGAGGTGAAAGGATTGAAGTTTATAAAACTACAGTGGTGCCTCGCAAGATGAAATTAATCCGTTCCGCGAGTCTCTTCGTCTTGCGGTTTTTTCGTCTTGCGAAGCACGGCTATTAGCGGCTTAGCGGCTATTAGCGGCTTAGCGGCTTTAAGAAAAAGGAAACAAACTCGCAAGAACTCGCAAGACGTTTCGTCTTGCGAAGCAAGCCCATAGGGAAATTCGTCTTGCGGAACGACTCAAAAAACGGAAAACCCTTTCGTCTAGCGAGTTTTTCGTCTTGCGAGGCACCACTGTATGCATAGCATGGATAAAGCATATAGAGAAAAGTTCTCCTTCTCATAACACTACAACTCGTGGATATCCAAGAAAGCCGGATGTTGGGAGATTCAGGACAGAGAAAAGAAATGACTTCTTTACGCAGTCAAACTATGGAACTTGCTCTCCTAGGAGACAGTGGCAGCCACCAACTTGGATGACTTTAAAAGAGGAATAGACAGGGACTTCCGGGTTAGCGCCATCGGCAATGGCGGAGTTCCTTTGACCGAGAGGAACCCGCTCCATGAAAATCGGGCCTTGCCGCTGCGGCGAAGGCGGAGACCCTTTAAAAATCCCAGGCGGAGGAAGCCTGGGAACGTGGGATTCGGCTGACACCAGGAGCGCCTCCCCTACTCGCAGGGAAACCCTTTTTCGGGGATCCGAAGCGATGTGGGGTGAGCAGCGCGGTGTTTTGAATCGACCGCTACTTTTACGGAGTGAAGCCACACAGCCGTTGCCGGAGAGCGCTGACTTTTTCCTGTGGACAATTGGACTCTAAACAAGTACCCGTGAGTAGAAACGGAAAATTGGATTAAGAAACATTTTAATTTGGCACTGAAGCGGGAAGGTTCTAAACAGGAAGTCCGCCTTCCGCTTTTGTAAATAGACTGAAGCAAAAATCTTGCAAGCTAAAGTCTGGAAAGTCGTATATAAAGGTCTAAATTTCCTTCACTTATAACCACCAAAACCCCCCTTGGAAGCAGGAGAAAAGGGGGGGAATTTTGACAGTTCAAGCCTGCAGGAGAGAGAGTAAAGAAAGATAAATTTCCACCGTCTCAAACCTGGGAACGGGGTGTTGGAGACAGGAATTTTTGGGGAAGTTCATTGACTGTGAATGGAACGTCTTTGACAGATAGCTAAAAAAGAGAAACAAATTGATTCCAATGTTGCCTTTTGCATTCAAAAGAAACAAAATATTTGAAAAATGAAAGTAATTTTCTTTTGTTGGACCTGCTTTTAAAAGATGGAGACAAATAGAAATTGTCTCATCTAGAGGGAGCTTGTTAAATTGTTGCTGGAGTTGATCTGGGGATTTTACAGCTGTGAAGATTAGGATCGTGGGACCAGACTCTGACCTTGAATAAAAAATGTGTTTAGAAGAAGTTTTGGTGCTTGCTTTTTGCAAGACAAGCGCTTTGTTGGAGCAGATGCATGAGAAGATGGATTTGATGACTGTTGCAGTCAAAAACTTTGGACAAACGGCGAATACTCATATAGAAACCATTCAGGAACCAACCCAGGAACCTGTTTTGACAGGGCAAGTGCAAGTGCAGAAGATAATGGAGGAGGTTGCTGTTGAACCTCAAGTAACACAAATGGAGAGACCCGAGGCCCTGCAGGAGCATAAACCGCTGTCTTTGAAGATTGAATCTGGAGTGGGCCAGGGGGGGTCTGGAGTTGTGGGGGCTCTTAATTTTGGAGGGACTTTGAAACATACCTTTAAATACTTTCTGGACTACACTGCTGACTGTGGGGAATGGGACTGTGGGGGATGGGCTAATCTGCTGAGGGGAGATGGAGATATTTTTGGGCTGGAGTCTCCGCGAGACCTACTCCTCAATGAGAAAGGAAAGAAATTAAGAAAGAGATCAACAAAAGACAAGGTAAAGTGCAGGTATAAACAAGAAGAAGATCTGCAGAAGGGACATGGAAAAGACTTAAGAGCCTCAGACACAAGATTACCAGGTTGATGGACTAGATGGAGTGGACAGTAAGGACTGACATAACCCGAGACCAGGAAGAAGAGATGTTGGATGAAGATTGGAAGAAAGTTTTTTTAAAAAATTATTTTGGGAATTAGTGTAAAATTAACGAATATTAGGGGAAATGTTGGAATGAAACTATTTGGCTTTAGTAGAAATGATATAAGGAGTTATGTATAAATAAGTATTAAGTTTTAAGCTTTAAGGTATTTTATGGTAAGATAAGGTTAAAATAAATTAAGGTAAATTGAACGACAGAATATAGTGAAAGATGGAAAGGATTTGCTGAGTTAATTAATAGGTTAGACTGTTAAGATAAATTACCCAACAAAAATTGAGAAAGATGGAAAGAATTTGCTGAAATAATTAACTAAACTAGAACACAAAAAGGGAGGTGTGAGGAGGTCGATGAAACAAGCAAATGAAAGACAAAGATATGGAATATTGGATGTGTGTGTGTTTGTTTGTTTTGTTGTATTGGTTTTTAAGTATTTTTTTCTCTTTTTTATGTATTGTAATGTATGTTTTGTTAAATTTTTTTTGGTTGTTCTCTTTTCTTCTTCTTTCTGTAATCTTTAAACTTCTAATAAATATCATTAAAATAAAAATAAAAGAGGATTAGACAAATTCATGGAGAAGGAGAGGCTGCCAATGGCTACTAGCCATGATGGCTATGCCCTAACTCCACAGTTGGGGGGCAGCAATGCTTCCGAAAACAAGTTGCTGCAAACTGCGGGGTGGGTGGGAGAAGATTCCTCTTGTGTTCCTGTTCTTCCCATAGGCATCTAGTTGGCCACTATTGAGAAGAGAACTCCAGACTAGATGGGCCATTGGTCTGAACCAGCAGGGCTATTCTTATGTTATTATACAGATGCTTCAGCATCAAGAGAAATGGATGACAAGACCTGTTACACACAACAGAACTTCAAGGGACACCATCTCATTCACCCCAAAAGAACTGGTACACCTGTAATCATTTGTACATGTGCCAAAACTAGCTGAGAGGCAGCACATGGAGAGCCGCACTGATCCTTGCAATGTTCCCTAATTGTTCTCATTCAGAGTGGTTGGGGCAACCGAGTCACATGGGTGGGGTACAAGAGATAAATAATAATAATAATAAATGAAATAACCACAGTGTGAAACATTCACACCAGGCTGGCCACACTCTTGTACCTCCAACAACTGTGAAGAAAAATGAATTTCAGCTGGGGCAGCTTCGCATCCTTGCTGAAGCCCCTCTCACCCACAGCATAGGAACAGGAGCCCTACCCTCTGCTGTATTTAGCTACCGTTACACCCTTGATGGCAGAAAGTGAGGAGGAATTAAAGAACCTTTTATTGAGGATGAAAGAGGAGAGTGCAAAATATGGTCTGAAGCTCAACATCAAAAAAACGAAGATCATGGCCACTGGGCCCATCACCTCCTGGCAAATAGAAGGGGAAGAAATGGAGGCAGTGAGAGATTTTACTTTCTTGGGCTCCATGATCACTGCAGATGGTGACAGCAGTCACGAAATTAAAAGACGCGTGCTCAGAATCAACAAACATAGGTAACATTAAAATCACAGATCACGCCCCAGTAGAAGTCACTGTTAAAATAGGAGAAGGAACACTAACCACCCCATCATGGTCCTTCAGTCCCATCCTAACTACAAACAAACAAATTAGAGAGAGTCTCACAAAAACCCTCCAAAACTACTTCAAAGAAAACGATGTAAACAATACAACAACCCCCCTCCTATGGGACGCAATGAAAGCGGTCACCAGAGGAGCTTGCATAAAAGAGAAAACATTCCTTAAAAAACAAACCTCCTCAAAAATTAGCAAAATAGAACAAGACATCACAGTCCTCTTATCACGCTACAAACAAACAGGATCTAAAAAACTCCTCAAACTTATAGAACAGAAAAGGAGAGAACTAGACTCCTTAGAAATCAACAAAACAATGATCAACATTCTATACTCTAAACAACGTTTCTATGAATATGGAGGGAAAAACTCCAGATTACTAGCAAATAGATGTAGAAAAAAAAGCACTCAAAACAAGAATACACTGCATCACCAAAAAAGACGGCAACATAACATTCTCCCCCAAAGAAATAATTTCAGAATTTGCAGAATTTTACTCCAACCTATACACCTCTCATAACCCACCAGAGAGGGAAATCAAAAAATTTCTAGCAGGACTGACCATGCCTACCCTAACTGATGAGGAACAGAAATTCATGGATAGCCCTATCACCCCAGAGGAAATAGATGCGGTCCTCAAAAACTTGAAACCACACAAAGCCCCAGGCCCAGACGGCTTCACAGCAGAATTCTATAAGAAATTCAAAGAACCCTTGATGCCCTACATGACCCGCCTATTCAACGACATCATAAAAGGGGGCCCCATCCCCAAAACCTGGACCCACTCCAAAATAGTCTCCATCCCAAAACCACTAAAAGACAGCCTCAAAGTAGAATCATACCGCCCAATCTCATTAATAAACCAAGACTACAAGATATTCACATCAATCTTGGCCAACCGCCTAAAAATCTTCCTACACAAGTTAATAGCCCCAGACCAGACTGGCTTTGTCCCTGGCCGCAATATAACAGACCCCATCAGGAAACTACTGAACCTGATCGAACACAGCAAGGCAACCAAACTCCCATTGACAATTATGTCCCTAGACATACTCAAAGCCTTTGATTGCTTGGAGTGGAAATACATATTAGCAGTACTAACTAACATGAAATTTGGCCCCAACTTCCTACAAATCCTCAAACAAATATACTCCCAAGCCTCAGCAAAATGCAGAACTAACAATATGGATTCTAACACTATAGCTATCCAAAGAGGCACGAAACAAGGATGCCCACTGTCTCCCTTCTTATTTATCCTGGCTCTGGAACCCCTAGCAATCCGCATCCGAGCAGCCACAGACATCAAGGGAGTGGAAATAAAAGGCAGGACCTATAAATTAGGGCTCTTTGCAGATGACCTAATGGTCACAACACCAGACCCCATAAGCACAGCAACCTCCCTAATCAGAGAACTCAACGCATTTGCAATGGTGTCGGGCCTACAGGTAAATTTCACAAAGTCAGAAGCTATGTGCTTCAACACCCCTCCTCACACCCAAAAAGAACTCACGAAGGTCACCAAAATAAAACTTTGCCACACCAAGTTCAGATACCTAGGGGTACAAATAACCAGAAACCTCAATAAATTATACCTCCACAACTACAAGCCCCTGTGGCGACAAATTAACAAAGACCTAAAGAGATGGAATAACATGAACCTCACTCTCTCAGACAAAATAGCCATGATCAAAATGACCACACTCCCAAAACTAACCTACCTATTCCAAACCCTCCCAATCTGGATCCCCTCAACCCAACTTCACAGTTGGCAGAGAAAACTACACTCTTTCATCTTCTCACATAAAAAACCAAGAATAAGCCCCAAATACCTGCACCTCCCCACCTCAGAAGGAGGATGGGGAATCCCCAACATAGAAGCATATTACAACGCCAACCAAATACGCCATATAATCCCATATATACTAGAAGATGAGACAAAACAATGGGTACACCTAGAGAGGGACACAATTGAAAACACCTGCACCACAGCATACCCACTCCTCCCAAACAAACTAAAGAAAATTCCCACAACACTTAACAGGTACACACAGACCATGCTCAAAGCATGGAAAACACAAACAGGCAAACTATCCCCAACCCCATCCCCACTAATCCCCCTGGCGTACCACCCATTATTCCACCATGCAGCACAAAACCTCAAGATAAAAACCTGGCGAACCAAAGGCTTATATCGCCTAATAGACTTTTATAAAAATAACAAACCCTTGTCAACACAAGAAATACAAGACAAACTAGAAGACACCCAAATGCCCTGGTTAACACAACACCAACTACATGCCCTCTTAAACAACCCAACAGTAAAATCAGCAGCAACTAGGCCCCTGACAACCTTCGAAAACCTCCTCCTAGCAACAAAGGGAAACGGTAAAGGGATGGTATCCGCAATATACAAAATACTACTCCAAAATCTCGCAAATCCCCTAGACGCAATCAAAAATCAATGGGAGAATGACATAGGCTATGAGATAAACCCCACTCAATGGACCAGAACGTGGTCTAAACCCCCCTTTAAATCCATATCAACGAAAAGAAAAGAACTCACACTGAAACTCACCTACAGGTGGTACCTAACACCAAGGAAACTAGCGCTAATACACCCAGGAACCTCACCAAAATGCTGGAGAGGGTGCACCTCCACAGGCACATACTTCCACATGTGGTGGGAGTGTCCCAAAATCCAACTATTCTGGACAACAGCCATACAAGAAATTTGTAAAATAACTAAGCAAGTAATAGACATCACCCCAGAATTGGCCCTACTAAACATCTTCCAAGACAACAATGCCCATTTACACCACAAAGAACTCATAACCCACCTGCTCTCAGCAGCCAGAAACACCATAACCAGACACTGGAGAGACCTGTCAGGAGTAAGCATGGACCAATGGTATCAAATAGTATGGGAAACAGCCCTACTAGAAAAATTAACTAATAAACTGAAACTGACACGGGGACAAACAGAAGAAGATGCCTTCACCCCGGTATGGCTCCCCTTTATCACACACACAGCCCAACAGGACAATGACAATAATCCACCAACAGCATACAAATCAATATGGCTAACCTGATCCAAAACACCCACCCACCTCACTCACACACGAAAACAAAGATCACCACAGCCAATCACAAGCAAACAATCACACCCTAGGCCAACCCCAACCTCTCTCACCACCAAAGGAACACAAGTGAACAACACAAGCACGCTGACACCAAACTCTACATACATTAAACATAATAGAAACACCGCCACCCAATCCCACCCTTATCCATCTTCCCTCTCTCCACCCCCCTTTCTCTTTTCTCTCCTTTTTTTATTTTTATTTTTATTTTCTTCTCCCCCTAATGCCTCAACAAATGAAACGGATTTGTAAAAATGTTACATGGGGAAAAATATATATGAGGCACTACACCTCTGTAAAACAAGAAAATCCTTAATAAAATATTAAACAAAAAAAAAAAAAAAAAAGACGCGTGCTCCTTGGGAGAAAGGTGATGGCAAACCTAGACAGCATCTTAAAAAGCAGAGACATCACCTTGCCAACAAAGGTCTGTATAGTTAAAGCTATGGTTTTCCCAGAAGTGATGTATAGAAGTGAGAGCTGGACCATAAAGAAGGCTGATCGCCGAAGAATTGATGCTTTTGAATTCTGGTGCTGGAGGAGTCTCCTGAGAGTCCCATGGACTGCAAGAAGATCAAACCGATCCATTCTGAAGGAAATCAGCCCTGAGTGCTCACTGGAAGGACAGATCCTGAAGCTGAGGCTCCAATACTTTGGCCACCTCATGAGAAGAGAAGACTCCCTGGAAAAAACCCTGATGTTGGGAAAGCACAAGGAGAAGGGGACGACAGAGGACAAGATGGTTGGATAGTGTTCTCAAAGCTACCAGCATGAGTCTGACCAAACTGCGGGAGGCAGTGGAAGACAGGAGTGCCTGGCGTGCTCTGGTCCATGGGGTTACGAAGAGTCGGACACGACTAAACAACAACAACACCCTATATAAACAGTGGTTTTTAGTAGTTCTTCGGTTTCAAGCAAGCTATTATTCTAGGGCCTTGATGAAAATTGAGTCTTAATTCCTCTGCACTACTGGCATGAATGTTGCACCAAAAACAGGAACAGTTGCGGCTGCTTCTTACCTGGGAATACTGTGGAAATACACTAGAAGTTGTGTGAGCTCATGGGCTCTCAAAGGTTCACTTAACCAAGCACTATTACTCATGCAGACCTGCACAACTGCTCTTCCACCACGATCCCTGTTTCCTATGAAAAAATGATATATATAAATGAATCCTCTGTAATAATGTCCTACACCTCTTGAGTGTCTTCTTTCCCACAAACCAAATCACATTGCCTGCATGGGTAGAAGTGGCGCCTTTTGAAAGCTGAGGGGGGACAGAGCGTAACAGATTCCTTTGTGGGGAACCTTCATCCCTTTACTTGGGGGGCATCTCCTTCCCTCCCTCCTCCCACACGTGTCCCTTTGCCCTAGGAAATGCATAAAGGAACAGCATTGCTTTCTCCTGACTAACAGAGACATCAGTTATTATGCTACAACAACAACAAATATTTCCAAACTGAAAACCAAAAGGTTTACATTTTAGAAACAGGCAGCAGTTGCCTGGATTCTTCCTTCAGATAGTGAGAAGATAAGCTCGTTTTTATATGATGGTATTCACTCTCTGAGAGAAGGATCCTTGTGGGTGGGGTCAGTGCTGCCTACTTGAAGACAATACATTTTTTCCATTTGAATGTTTTTGTTGCACGGAGCACATCATTTCTAGAGTACTTTTTGCAGAACTTCCCTCGTCTCCTGCCCATTCCCCTTACCCAGTTAGCCCAACTTTGTTGAGACAGATCATGGGAAGCCCCCCCCCCCGGACATGCAATAAGAGATCTCTGCAAAGTTCGTACATGCTTACACACCATTAACTTTTCACTACTATGTAGTACATACCACACAGAGAAACGACTCCAGACTGCAGTAATTCTTGATTAACTTCAAGCAGCTGGTGTGATGACAAGCGCCTGGGGTCCCCAGTGTTTGCAGACAGCAGCTCATTCTCAGGGCAAGGCAGCAGAGGTGGTGAATTTACAGTAGACTCGTAATCCCGAAAATCAATTCTGGAGTCTCCGAGGTCTGGAGAAAATACTAGTGATGTGAAAGAAGACAGCTTAGAGTCTCCACCCTCTCTTTTTAAATAAAATAAAATAAAAATGTGTTTTATTGGTTTTCAAGTGTAACACCGTAAACATAGCATAAAGCAAAAAAACACATGGACTACATATTATTGCATTGTCAATTGCATAAAGTAAAATTAAGGAATATGCATAATAGTTTCACTGGTTAATTAGTCCACACACATGTGACATAGGGGATTGTAACAGCTGTGCTGACGTAGTCATGTGAACAACAAAGACCATGTGTGTAAAGATTTGTTCCTCTTTGCCTGTCCATTTGCAACACTGCTGTGATGGAAAGTGCTGGTTCCCAAACAGAAGCATACCTGGAAAGCAAAGTAAAATTTTCTCCTGTTTTCTACCTGGCAGCTATCTCCAAGTAGAGAAAGAGACGAGAGTTCGAAATGAAACCTTAGGGTTACAATTGCTCTCAAGTGACAAAAAGGGCTAATTTAGGATTCACAATCAAATTATGAATGATGGTAATAGAAATTTCAGGGGACATATTTTGCCAGAAAGAATGTTTCTGGAAACAGTCCCACCACACGTGGAAAGAAGCCAATTTTCACTTTTGAAAAGTGATTTTGTAAAGAGTTACACGGTGATGAAATTTAAGTGGAGCTTGATTTCTTGCAGGACACTAGATACGTTAAAAAAAAACAACCCACAGCTTTCGTGCCTTAGCCTCTGATCATAATATGCACTCAGCCTTTCTGACCGCACAGTTCCACTTGGATACTGAATGAGAAGCAAGAACTTTGCAGAGAAAAGTTGTTATCCATGTGCAATCCTATACATGCCTCATGGAAGTATGCATAGGATTGCATCTTAAATCAGTTCTATCTGATGGAAGTCAGTGGGACTAATAGCCTATCACATGTATTTTTGCTTGTGATTTATATTTGCGTTCAATATAAATATGCATAGGATTGCAACCTAAATCTTCTTAAATCTCCATCCATTCATTTAAATGGCTTCTGAATAGGCCGATACAAGAATAAGTGTATTAAATGACCAAAATGCTATATGGTTGGTTTTTCATGATTACTTTTTAAAAAAATCTCTTAATTTCTTAAGAAATTTCTGCTGAAATCTAGGAGAAACTGAAAACCATATAATACCTTCACACAACTTGACAGCCACTTATTATAGTGCAGTTGCTAAATGTCAGCAGATAAAATAGTATGTTATATTCTAAAGATTTAGCATTTGCAAAATGCTATGCTAAAAAATTACTGTATATGATATTGCTCTTGGCACAAGAAATATTTGCTTTTAGAGCAGCCAACAACTTCTGAAGTTGGTTCTGACCTAACCCAAAGCGAAATCCTCTAAAAAAGGGAGAGGAAGGAAAAAACATTAACTCGCCAAAGCCAGGAACTGAGGATCGGGGGACTTTGCATTTAGTGATTATTTTGAGATATGGAACTAATTGAATTGTGGCTCTGACATCCTTGCCTCATCTGCAAAGGGAAGATAATATTGCAAAAGCATCATTCCCCTACATTAAACAAACAGATCTGCCTAAATTTGAAGCTTGGGAATCTGGACTTTTCTGAACACCCAACTGGTTAAAAATAGTTTCAGGGATGCTTCACATACCATCAGCTTCTAACATGAATGTTATTTTCCTACTTCCTACAAAGCAATAGGAAACAGCGTTATTTCCTCATGCATACTGTAAACACCTGACAATTCTAAATGTGTATAAATTGCTGCATACAGGCTGGAATTATGCAAACACAGAAGAGGATTTTGTGCAGGAATGCAGCATGGGGGTGAAGACTGTTAAATACTGTGTGTGTGTGTGTGTGTGTGTGTGTGTGTACACGTATATATACATTTACATATACATATGGCCAATATACTCTTCTGTGTAATGAAGTCAGATTTATCTAGCATCACATAAAACACTTTATAAGAAAACTTCTTTGTAATATGGGTTTCTCCAGGACCTCTGTGGCTCCCCACAGCTACTGGACCAAATGGATACCTCAAGGGAGTGTGGTTTTCCACTATGGAAAATAATGTGACCTAACACCCACAAAGAGTGGCTACAAAGAGCAGTGAGTGGTTAAGAAGAGGGGATGAAGAGGGGGAAAGAGGATCTAGAGAAGGCAGATGAAGACCAGAAACCTTTTTAGCTCATTAATATCCAGAAAAGAAACAAAATAAATTCCCGCTGATGATAGCTCTTTGGTCCAGACAGTCATACATGCCTCATACATAGCATTTATCAATAGAAATGTACCCAGATATGGGGGGGGGCTGTGATTTTCACATGCAGCGGTGTACACTTTGTTTTTCCTTAATCCTGTGCATAATGTCATGTGGTAAAGGTAAAGGTAAAGGTCCAGTCGTGACCGACTCCGGGTTTGTGCGCTCATCTCACTCTATAGGCCGAGGGAGCCGGCGTTTGTCCGCAGACAGCTTCCAGGTCATGTGGCCAGCATGACTAAGCTGCTTCTGGCAAACCAGAGCAGCGCATGGAAACACCATTTACCTTCCCACCGGAGCGGTTCCTATTTATCTATTTGCACTTTTGACGTGCTTTCGAACTGCTAGGTTGGCAGGAGCAGGAACCAAGCAACGGGAGCTCACCCCGTTGCGGGGATTCGAACCGCCGACCTTCTGATCGGCAAGCCCTAGGCTCAGTGGTTTAACCCACATGTGGTAAGTGGTCCTAAATCACATGCACTGGTTCAGTGGTTCAGTGCAAGTAAAATCCCACTGATTTCCCAACACTTTAGACTGTGCCTATGGTGACTTTAAACCTTGAGTTATCAGAATTGCTAACACTGGATAGATAGCTCTGTAGTTGCTGTTCTTCTGTTGTCTAGCTCCATTTATCCCACTGCCATTCCATTTCCTAGCTCTGCTTGTTCTGCTGTTGGTATGCTTAATGTTATAGATCTATTTACATCATTCAAAGCCACAAACTTATCTTTGAACTCTCAGAATATAGCAGGATATCAGCAGAAAACAAAAACCCCCGCCACCCCACAAATAAACATAAATAGCACCTATGCTTCCAAACTAAAATAAAATAACTAAAGGCACACCGGTTAGCATGGTTTAAACAGGCTGACTAAATAAGAATAAGTGAGGTATCTACTTTGCATCTGTTTTACCTTCATGCTTCTATGCTTTTTGTAGCAATGAATTCATGAATATGTGACTCCAGTCTCTCAGACCTTGGAGAATGCCCATTTATGATTTTGGGGGGATTTTCACTGAACACTCCATCTGAGGGCACCCTGGATTTATAATCTTCACTCTGTGAGCTCTTATGCGTCCTGTCTAAAGACCGTGATCTTCGTGAACCTGACCTGCTACATGCTGTTTCATGAGGTACACTCCATTTTTCAGAGGCCTGGGAACGATTCCCAAATCTAACTGTCTGTCTTGTTTCCTCCTGTTTTGAAATTCTTTCAGACCAACAGCTTTCTTGCCAAACATTGTTTTCACATGTTTTTTCAGTGACCCTGCACTCATTCTCCACCTGTCCCATGACATGCTCTGACGGTTCGTCTTCTGCAATGGATTCCTCAGAGCTGGAACCAAGACTCATTGGGTTTTGCAAAGCTTCTATATAAGACTTTCTAAACAATCGCTTTGTTTCAAAATACAGAGAATCCCGCCCTCTTTGACATGGGCTGCTCAGGTCTGTGCTGAAGGATATGCTTTTGGGGCCATTCCTTTTCACTAGTGGAGGAGTTGCTGAATCTTTAAACAAATCAGGCGTCAATTCAGATGTCATTTTTGGTTCCTTGATGGCTTGCTCCGCAACTGAAAGCGCTCTTGGATTCGCTTCATCAACAGTTCCATGCTCAGCTTGGGGTGCTGGGGTTTGTGTTTCAGCCTTGCTCCCAGGGCCATGACATAAATCAGAATCATCATCACCTTGGTTTCCACAGTTGCCTGCAAGCGGTACCTCTATCACGGTAGAACAGGTATCATTAGAGGTCGAACTCTCATGTGAGCTGCTGCTTTCCATTGTCTGTGTCATAGCTTTAGCATCAGGACTGCTGCTGATCAATTTTTCAAGCAGAGAGCTTTTGGAATATGTTTGCAGAATTGTTTCAGCTGTAGGGACAAATATAGGGTTCACAATATTTTTCCAAGGTGTCCTATATATGGCTGGGCCTGTAGTCAGCAAGCAGCTCTGCAAAGGACAGCCATTCAGTTTACTGCTTACATTTTCCAAAAACTCTATTGTGAAAATATATCCGTACATGGTTTCAGGTACAACAAGCTCTTCCGTTCCTCGCCCATGTCTGGAGAGACATTTTAACACTAGGTTGACTGACTGCTTTCTCACCGGCACAATCTGGAAGTAAAAATCTCCTGGTTTTAAACGGGCTTTGTGGAGGGATGCCAGTTGCACTATGATCTTCTCATGGATGCACAATGGCCATCCTTCATGGTAAAAAATAAGGCCGGTATAATTGCTCTGTAAAAAAGAGAGAAAGCAAACTAAGTGAAATATAATTGCCTATATTAATGCTATTAACATTTGTGCAAATTTAACCACCTTTTAGTACAACAGAAAAATGTGGTAAATTAATGTAGCAGTTGACTCGTAGTAAACAATAAAAAAGTTATGTTCTATTTTAGAACCAACAAAAGTTTCAGAATCAATACTGTCTTATGAGTACAAATAATTAACATAGATCACAAAACTAGTCCTGAACATATTCCTCTGACTACTGTGATCAGTTGCTGAACTCATTCCTAGAAATGTTATATCAATTTTTTCAAATATACTGCAGGGCTAGGAAAAGACCCTTCTACATTTTTGAATGACTTCCGGGTTGGCGCCATCGCCGAATGGCGGATTTCCTCCGAGCTCCGGAGGGAGTCTGCTCGATAGGGGTCGGGTCCTGCCGCGCCGGCAACACGGGGACCCTTAAAAACCATGGGCGCGGATGCCCGTGGACATGGTGACTCGGCTGGCACCGTTAGCGCCCTCCCGACCCGCGAAGGAGCCTTTTTAAAGGCTACGGAACGGGGGACGGGGAGCGGCGTGGTGCTGTGAGTCTACTGCTTCCCCTGCCGAGCGAAGCCGCATGCCATTCGTCGGAGAGCGCTGACTTCTTCCTTTAAAAATTTGGACTAAAAATCAAGAACAACAACCCGTGAGTAATTTGGAAATTGGATTAAAATTTTTCCTTTTTTGTGGATCTGGCACGAGCGGGGGAGGTGCAAAGAAGAAGTCCGTCTCCCCCCCATTGTAAACATTTTAAAGCAAGGATTTGCCAACTAAGGTTGAGAGAAGAGATGTTTTTTTTCCTGATTGGATAAAAGTTATTAATTCCACGGATTTAAAAGTATAAGTTACTGCGCTGGAGGATAAGAGCTTATTTTTTTTTATTAAGTGCCACCCTTCCCGAGACCGGGAGCAACCCGCGAAAGGAGCCTGTTGAGGAGTTACAGAAGATTTTGACAGCTGTCAAATTAGCTGTCAAAGTCGGAAAAAATTGAAAGCTTTGGCTTAGCCGGCTACATTGTTACAAGGTGTTGAAAGTAAAGAAAGATTGAAACAAATTAATCTGACTTTTGGACTGGAAGTGAAAGGAATACTAAGTAACCAGAATCCCTCTAGAGGGGGTTCACAGACATTACAAGAATGGAAATAGGTCGGAAAATTCTGGCTGATTTGGATGAGCTTGTTTTTCTCATGGGAAAGCTGCGCAAGATGTACGAGCAAGGCCATGTTTTGTCTACAAGTCCTACAAAAACTGAAGTCAACAGCAAATATACCTATTGAGTTGGAAAAGGACTTGATGTTCAAAACACAGGCAGCTGGACAAGAAAAGAAACCAGAGACTGAAGAGGAGGAGCAGAAAGGAGGGGCTGAAATGTCACAGAAGGTAAATGAGAGCCAGAGGCCTGCCAAGATGGTTATAAAAGGAAACAAAGATCGGAAGAGGAAAATTTGGTCTGTACCCAGAAATGAGGAATGGAAAGATCTTCTTTTGTGGAGAACTGAAGATCTTGGGATTACCAATTTGATCAAGGTGGAAGCTGGAGCTTTTGGGACATTTGGACTTAAGAAACAGGACTTGAGCTCCACCTTTAAACAAGGAGGCCTGGCTGGAAGGAACATGGACATTACAGAGAGTGCCCCTTCGAGACTGGGTGTCAAACACAAGGGACTTTCAAAGAAGCCGGCAGAAAGGGACTGAGAGAGATTTAAGAGCCTCGGACGTGAGGTCTCCAGGCTAAATAGATGGACTAATGGACTATGGTTTTGGGATTGAAACCGGGGAGGGAAGGGTGGGGTTTGGAAATCCAAAGGGGGCCTGATCTTTTTTACTCTGTGTTTAATTTTATGATGTTATCACTATAAGAATGGGGAATTCGTGGAAGGGTAATAGGGTCAACCTTAGAAAAGGTTTTTCTTTTTATAAATGAATAAGGCACATAAGTTAAAAGTTGATACACAAATTGAATTAAATATAATAATGAATCAAGGGTAAAAATTTAATATAAATAAGCATAATAACAAACTAGGGTTAAGAAACTAGAGATAAGAACTTGTTGGATAAATATTTGGATTTGGAATACAAGAAGGGGAGGTGAGGGGAAGTCGTGGAAAGAAGTCACTGAAAATGGGATTCTAAAGGTTGATTTTTTTTGTTTTTCTCTTTTCTTTTTGTTTTTCTGTATTATCTGAAATTTTAATAAATATTACTTAAAAAAAAAAAGATTTTGTTATCAAGCTGCCAAACCATGAGAATGGTAATTCATTACCAGCAAATTGCTAGAATTTTCACAGGAAGTGACAAGATTCCCTTACGCAGATCATGTTCAAACACGATGATAGTGCTCATATTATGGTAGCTTGCTTCCCCCCCCTCTATATAGTATTTATAAAACTGAAATAAAGCAATGTTAATATTTTGGAATTGTTGGGATGGCTTTAACAGATATATCAACTATCCAGGTAGAAAAAACATTCCCATTCAAAGAAGTAATGCAAACATAGCTGAAAAAATGTTATAGAATGAGAACCACTCTGGTTTGTGCCAGTCAATACTCTTGATTAAAACTGTCCTGGAACTAAAGAAATGCAGAAGGGCCATTTTACCCATTTCGTGGTAGAGAACCTGCATTTGCTAGTGAGCATAAAGTCATAGAATCATAAAATTGTAGGTTTGGAAGGGACCCCAAGGGCCATCTATATGCTGTAAGCCACCCAGAGTGACTGGGGAAACCCAGCCAGATGGACGGGATAACAACAACAACTAGTCTACAGAGAGTTTCAGCCAGTCCTCAATCTCTGTATGATAAATGTTTCCACATTTGTCTGGATCTTGTTCACAAGTGTACACCTAAAAATGTAATGTGTGAAGTTTGACTTGTGATTTCCCAGAGTTAACAAAGGGATGCATCTTAGTAACTGAGGCTATAAAGCATTAGGAAACACTCTCCGTGACCCTTTCCTCTTGAGGGAGAGCTGCTAAGTTCGGAGTACATAAAGATTCCATTGTTTCTTTTTAAATGAACAATATTGGGAGAGCAAGGTATCTGACGGAGGCATCCTGTCTCTTTGCCAGAAGTGGCATATTTCTGTCTCAGGTTTCCATTCACTGAGCAGTCATTTCTTTACTCATGGGCTCTGACAAGGGGATTTCCTTTGACCAGCAAGATTCACCCTTTGGATCTGAAGAGGCTCAACGCCATTAAAGCCTTTTGTCTGGTTAATAATGCCAGGGTAAGGCCTAAAGCTTTAAAGCTTCACTGAATGCTGTGAGAATTAAAGGATTAGGCCCCATTCCCTTAACTTTGAAATTAGTAGCAAAAGAAAAATAATCAGGTCCCAACCTAAGTTTCACATAAGCGAGTAAGGATTTGGAAGGCATTTCTGTATACATGCAATGCCAGTCACATACAACTGCACACTTCCTTATCTACCGTATTTTTCGCTCTATAAGATGCACCAGACCACAAGACGCACCTAGTTTTTGGAGGAGGAAAACAAGAAAAGATATATTCTGAATCTCAGAAGCCAGAACAGTGAGAGGGATCACTGTGCAGTGAAAGCAGCAATCCCTCTTGCTGTTCTGGCTTCTGGGATAGCTGCACAGCCTGCATTCGCTCCATAAGACGCACACACATTTCCCCTTACTTTTTAGGAGGGAAAAAGTGAGTCTTATACAGCAAAAAATACGGTAAATAGTGCTATGAACTGTAACTGAGAGACCATTGAGAGAGGTTGGGCTAAACAAGTAAGGTGGAAATGGATGTTCCATGGTACAAGTAGTAGATGAGGACTTCTTTAAACATCTATCCCAGATTTCAGCACCAAAAATAAAAGTAAGTAATCCAGGGCTGCTACTCATTTGTTGAACTTTGAGTATGAATTCAGGATCTAACACAATGTTGACTACTATTAACTACATACAGCTCTCTGCCAGGACTCCGAAACACCAATGTGCAGTGGGATTTCTCCTAAGTTGAAGAAGATAAGGGTGTGAGGAGAGCCAGGGGGCTTTCATAAGGAGAGAATGCAGAGTTAATTCACTGCGCCAGAATATGAATATGGTATCCTTGGGCTTTAGTGGAGTAAGTGTTGACTTCCCTTCACTTTCCCCAGAAACCTCATGAAATCATAGAGGTGGGCTCCTGGGTGGAGGCTGGGGCACATGGAGAGTGCCCGGTGGGGGCAGGGGGTGGCTGCCCCCCTCAATATTGGGGGGCATAGTCCCCTGCCCCTAAATATTGGGGGCTGGAGCCCCTTGCACACCATATACCCGCCACCCCTGCCTGCATCCCATGTTCTTTGGTCCTCCCTGAGCTTCCAGGAGGCAAATCATCCTACATTCATGAGCACTTTCCAGCAAAACAATCTTGTAGTCCCACAATCAAGGCCCTATGAAAGAAGAGATTCTTTGTATGATTTCATTCAAACATTGCTATTGTGAAGCTTATGGTATTTGATGCTTGCTGATGTAATGCTTTCGGCTCTGAACACATCCACTGTAGGGTCAAAATCATACCCTGAGGTAATAGCCCTTGCAGCTGTCCAAAAGCCAAATATATTAGTTTTCTGATTCATTCCTAAAGGAATGTGTTTATTGAAACAGACGGCAGGTACGCTTCAATACCGCTCTTCCTCTTTCAGGTCTGGGCTGGTGTGTTGCATCTACCAACTACTAATTATCTTCTATTCTGGGTTTTCTCTTTTACTGTGTTAATCAAAATGCTATACCAATTTACTTTGTTTAAATACCAGGGTGCTTGTTGGTGTAACAACTGAACTATGTCATTAATCAGTAGGATAACTCGCTTTACAGGTGTTTCTTAAGTACGTTCAACGACAGTTATTTTTGGTTTTTTACTAACAAGAAAAGAATCAACATCTAGAAAACCAACAATTGAAAGTTTCTTTAGAGACCTCTGTACTGAGTATTATTTGACTGATGTTCACTTAGGATTCAGATAAAA